CTGGGGCCCCCCGGCGAGGGAGGGGGGTCCAGCGCCGATCCGAGAAATCCGCGCGGACCTCAGAGTTTTATGTTTATGCCACTTTTTGTTCCCCATACGGAAGGCAGATGAAGTAGATTGGATTCGGGCCCGCCCTGAGAGTAACGAAACGCAGCAACAGCACATCGATGCCTGCATCAGGAAGGCGCTTGAAGTAGATTGGGTTCTGGGACTCCAGAAATACCGACTTTCAACGACCGATGGGTACAAGGGGGTGGCCTCCATCGGGGGGGAGACAATCCTAGATCTCGGTGTTGGTGGTAAGCGTTCGGCCGCCTAGGAAGCCATAATATTACCACCAGCACCGAGATCGGGACACTCTTCCCTCGGTGGAGGCACACCGCCGATGTTGGTGTCAACCTCTAAGCCTGCGCAATCCAGCTCTCGCCCAGGCCGGCCGCGCCATGTGTACTCAACTTCCTGGTATGCAGCGGCGCGAAAACCAAAGCCCCTCCTGAGTCCAGGGTGGTCCTTGTTTCGGCGTGTCGGCCCTATCTTCACTGCTTCGCAAGGCGCACAGCCGCTCCCAGACTCCGCAGCAGGTGCCCGAGGCAGGGGGGTCCACCCCACTCTGGCTGAGCTCCAGCCTCGGAATCTTGGGTAAGACGATGGCAGGATGAGAACACGAGCGAGGATAAATCGGGAATATCTGAGAGATGACGAGTCTGCAGGATGTATTGGGCGCCGCGGCCTTCTTAGAGCGTTCCAGAACGCTCTGGAAGCCTTCTGGAACGCTCTGGAACGACTTATCCCTGTCCTAGCCCCACCCGACTTGGGACTGACGGGAAATCCTGGCCTCCCAAAAAGGGTCTGAGCAGACGGGGCCAGACAATCGCGACACATCGCCAATGCGTCAGCGGTGCTGATTGATGTGGAGCCCGACGTTCTCCACGCCGACGTCGCCGATGCATCGCCGATGTATCGGCGATGCATCGGCGTTGCGGCGCGATCCTCCGACCCCATCCACTCGGACCCAAATCCTGAGGCCTCCAAAAAGCACACCGCAGGAACTCACGTCCACTGCGGCCGGCCCACCTCCATTGGGCCTCCAGGTCAGGTTCCAGATTCGCCTCTCTCATCTCTTCGTGCAGCATCAGCGCGCGCTGCCACTGCCCTCCCTTCTCGCACGCACTTATTGCAGCACCGTAACTAATTACGTCACCCCCCAGCTTCACCTGGCACAACTCCCTGAGCAGAGACAGCGCATGATACCACCGTCCACCTTTCTCGCACGCGCTGATTCCAGCATTGTAGATGAGGATGTTCGCTTCCAGGTTCTCGTCAAACAATTCCCTGAACAATGCTAATGCGTCCTGCCAGCGTGCAGCTTTCTCACATGCACTGATGCCAGCACCGTATGTGAGTATGCTTGGCTGCAGATCCACCTCCCGCAGCTCCCTCAACAACGACAAGGCACGCTGCCACTGCTGCCCCTTCTCGAACGCGCTGATTCCAGCATTGTAGCTGACAGTGGTCACCTGCAGCGCCGCCATCCTCATCTCCTGGAACAACGACCATGCACGCTGCCACTGCCCGCCTTTCCCGCACGCGCTGACGCCAGCATTGAAAGCGACGCGGGCGGGCCGGGGGGGGGGCTGCCGTCCTTGCGCGATGACTCAGCAACTTCCCTCTTGGACAAGCCGCGGTGCGTGCCAAACTAAGCCCCGCATCGATCGTCCTGTTCTGAAGCAGGCTGTGCTGACGGCACCCGATCTTGGCTTACTATGTGAGACCTGCTCCAGAACAGGAGCACACTGTGGACGGATCTACCCATCCTCCGACCTTGCACTGCGCCGAACGCAGCGGCCGCGTTGTCCATAGACGCATCCACCCCGAACATGTCTGTGTAGACGTCACGGCACCCAGTGTGTCCATATAGACGCCCTGGGCCAGCACGTGAGAACAGCATCTGGCATCGGCCCTCGACCTCGGTCTGCTGGAATCGGAAGCGGGTACACAGTGTGGGCGCGGCCGCAAGAAACCCTCGCAAAAAACCCAACCCTGAGAACCCGCGCGCGAGGTGCACCGGAGGGGAAACCCGGAGCACCCTGAACGCAGCAGCTCCTTCAACGGCCGCGGGAAGTCGCCGCGCAGAGCGAGGAGCAAAGAAACCGAGGATACCCTGACGAAAAGCATATGGTTTCTTGATGCGCGCCCCCACTGTAGACGTATCCACCCCGAACATGTCTATGTAGACGTCACGGCACCCAGTGTGTCCATAAAGACGCCCTGGGCCAGCACGTGAGAACGGCACCTGGCCTCGGCCCTCGACCTCGGTCTGCTGGAAGCGGGTCTAGCCTGATGACGCTCCAGCCGCAGAGGTACGCTGGGAGCAGCAGAAGCCTAGCCCTGCCCCTCCAGACCCCATCGGTGGGCACGAGAACTCGACGGCAGCCCCGGGGGGCCCGCCCCCCCTCCGCGGATGCCAGGGGGGCACCGCGGGAGCCACGGGGCCGCCGCGGGACGGGCAGGCAGGCCGGCTGCGGCCGGCGGGGCGCACGGCGGGGGGGCACGAGGCGAGGGGAGTGCGGCCCTCCGGAGGCAGGGGCGCCTCGCGGAGCGGCCACGGCCGCACCCGGCCGCGTGGCACCACGGGGCGCCCTCAGTGGCGGGTGGGCGCCTTCGAGAGGGCGAGGCTCGGGGGGGCGACGGCTGTTGCGCGGGGGCGGGAAGAGAGAGAGCTGGAGGGAAGGCAGAGGGGAGGGGAGCACCAGGAGGGAAGCAGAGGGGGTGGACCAGAGGGAAGGAGCAGCGAGGAGGGCGATCATGCAGGGCGACCCGGAGGGACGCCGGAGGGAGGATGGCGAAGCTCTGGGGCGGCCCGAGGCACGACGGCCGCGCGGACGAGGCGGGGTCCGCTGCCCGCGTGCAGCCTCGAAGGCCCGCCCCGGAGCCGAGGCGGAGCCAACAGAACAGGGCGGCAGCACCCGTGCGGAACAGCTCGGAGGCATCGGGGAGGCAGCCGGCGCTCGGCGGGGACGCGACGGGCGCCGCGGCCACTCCAGAGCGCTCCCTCCTCCTCCTCCTCCTCCTCCTCCTCCTCCTCTTCCTCCTCCTCCTCCTCCTCCTCCGCTCTGGAACGTTCTGGGGGAAGGAACGCTCTGGGACGATGGATCTGCGTCCCGAGGCTGCCCCGACGACGGCCCCCCGTGGTGCACCCGGAATCGCGGAAGAGAAGACATTCGGGTCCAGCTTCGCACCCCGCAGCTCCCGGAGCAGCCACAGAGCACGCTGCCACTGAGCCCCCTGCTCGCACGCGCTGATGCCGGCACTGTAGAGCGCGGCACTCGGATCAGTCGTTGCGTCCCTCGACTCCCTGAGCAGCCACATGGCGTGTTGCCACTGCTCTCCTCTTGCGCACGCACTGATTGCAGCACTGTAACTTACCACGTTCGGCTCCAGCTCGGCTTGTGGCACCTCCCTGAACAGAAACAGTGCTTCCTCCCACTGCGCTCCTGTCCCGCACGCGCTGATTCCAGCATTATAGACAACCACGTCAGTCTCCGAGCTCGCTGCGCGAAACTCTCTCAGCAATGACAGCGCGTCCTGCCAATTCCCACATTTTCCGCACGCGCTTATTCCGGCGCCGTAGCTGATCTCGTTCGGCTCCAGCCTCACCTCTCGCATTTCAGCCAGCAGCGATAACGCATCTTGCCATGCCGCGCCCTTTTCGCACGCGCTGATCGCAACACTGTGGCTGACTAGTGCGAACCCATGGAAAATCTACGGCTAGCAGGTGAAGGTGTCGGTGCCGGACGCATGTTGCCGACGCCTGCGGGTGTGCTTCGGGACTGTCTTGGGGGCCATCGAGGGCTCTACGAGGAGGGTCCCCCCTGTCACCCCCAATCGGCCGCCTTGGGCAGCGCTGGGGCCGTCTTGCGCGCGTCGAGGGGCGTACAAGGAGCCTCTGGGGCTGTATTGGGGTCGTATCATGTATGTGGGGTGTGTGAGGGCTTCGTTGGGCTGCTCAGGGGCCTTCTTGGACCGCCTTGGGGCGCGCTCGGGGGCGTCCTGGGATGGGCGGGCGTGTTTTGGGAGTGCCTAGGGATCTTGTTGGGCCGTTGTTCTTGGAAGCAACTGGGGAGCCACACCGTTGTCGGGCCTTGGTTTGAGGTCAGGGGCTTTCCTGGATGCTACCGGGGAGCCACACATGGGGAGAGGTGCCGGGGCTGGAGGCTCTCTTGGGAGCTCTGTGGGAAACAGCGGAGTTTCTTGGGAGGCCTTGAGGCATCTCGGAGTGGTCTGGGGCGTCCTTTGGGGTCTGGGGTTTTCTTTGGGGTCGTCTTGGGTTTGAGAGGCGGCGCTCTCCTGGGGAGCTCCTGGGCAACTATCGGAACCTCTTGGGAGACTCTGGAGCATCTCGGAGTGGTCCTTGGTGAGTTCGCGGCCCTTGGTGAGTTCGCGGCCCATTGGGGGCTGCGGAAGGCCGCGGTATAGAATCCCTGCGGCCCCTCTTGAACTCTCCCGGGAGTCTCTCTGGAGCCTCGTGGGGCCGACGTCTTGGGCCATTCAAGAGCTCTTTTGGGCCGTCTCGGAGGCCCCACGGACTCCCTGCGGCCCCTCTTGGAGCCGTCCTGGGGTCTCTCTGGAGCCTCGTGAGGCCTTCTTGGGCCATTTGGGGGTTCTCTTGGGCCGTCTCGGGGGCCCCGCGGGCCGTCCTGGGGCCATGGTAGGGGCCTCGGGCCGTCTTGGAGCTTGCTTTGGGGCCTGCTCGGCAGCTCCTGGGGACCTCTTGGAGCTGTCTTGGGGGCCACCACAGGCTCTATGAGGGTACCGTGGGCCTCTCTGGGGCAATCTTGGGGCCCTCTTGGGCTGTGTCGGAGCTCGTGGCGGGGCCTCATGGACCGTCTTGGGGAGCGATCGGGGGCTTCCTGCGACGTCTCGGGCGTGCGGGAAACAAGGAAAGGGAGAGCACGGAATTTATCCAAAAACAACAGGACACATCGTCCATTTACTCTCGTCGAGGCCTGTCCGGGGGCCCTCTCGGAGCCTCCTAGAGCGACCTGGGCGCTGCTGGGGCTGCCGGGAATGCAAGCTCGGGCCGCCCAAGCTTGCGCTTGGGCCGTGTTGGAGCTTCCTTGGGCCGTCTTGAGGTTCATCGGAGCGCTCAGGAGCAGCCCCGAACCGGCAGAGGCGCGGCCTGGGGCCGTGAGCGCGGTGGTGGGCCACGCATTTTTGGCCACTTTCGCACGCACTTCGCCCAACACTGTAGTACAGATGACATCCGGCTCCAGCTTCTGCTCCAGTGACTCCCTGAGTAACCAGAGAGCATACTCCCACAGTGCTGATCTTTCGCACGCGCTGATGACAGCACTATAACTGATTATGTCTGGCATCACAATCCGCCACCGTGCCTCGAGGCACGAAGTGGAGTGTCCTCAGGCTCGGGGCCTGGAAACTGGCACCAACGAGGAATAGGACGAGGTTGAGGGAAAGGGGAAGGAGGCAGGAGGAGGAAGAGGAGGAGGCGGAGAAGGAGGCGGGGGAGCGGGAGGGGGGGCAGGAGGAGGAGGAAGACCAGTGTAAACCCAAGAGTCATCAACAATGTTGAAATAAACCCTCCCTCCAAGCTCCCTCTTCATAGGCCCCTTACAACGGTTTTCACTGAGGGAACTGCCTCGTTGGAAGACAAGTCTCCCAACGCCACAGGTAAACCTGACTGTTGCGTCTTGACGATCCGGATCGTGCCAAAACGCCGTTCCTGGGATTTCGACACCGCAACTCAACGTAACTGTTGCACCATCATAACCCTGAATCCTGCGAACACACGATGTCTGGTATGCTGATCATGAGAATCCGTGAACCTTTTGAAATTTTGTAGAACGAATGAATGTGCGCTGCGCGGAACTACGGCGAGAACCACATTTTGAAAACGACCCGCCCTCAATCCGTGAATGCCCTGCAATGTTTCAAACGAATGTGCGCGGCACCAAGGCGAGACCCACACGTTGAAAACGACCCGCCTGCAATCCGTGAAACTCTTGTAATGTTTAAAAACGAATGTGCGCGGCGCGAAGGCGACAACCACATGTTGAAAACGGCCCGCCCTAAATATGTGAAACTCTTGCAACTTCTTACAACGAATGTGCACGGCGCTAAGACGAGAACCACATGTTGAAAACCACCCGCCCTCAATCCGTGAAACTGTTGCCACGTTTTTTTTACTTCAGGGTCACTAGCGGTGGGGAAGCGGTGGGGAAGTCTCAGGCGAAACGCCCGACCCGCCCTAACAACTGGCCTCGGGGTGCGACAGGGAAACATTACCCTGTGACGTACCCAACCCTTTTGTATCATGGGAAACGAGGAGTTGGCCGAAACTTGCGTGGACAATCAAATTGCAGGATCCGCTGTTTGATATGTACGCTACTTGGGAAGGCGCCTATGGCATGATGCGCAGGAGAACCATACAAGAACGAGGGGCGACAACTACAGGCTCGAAGAGGACATGGGGAGTCGGAAACGAAGAGCAGGAGAAAGACGTGCGGGAAGCCCAATGTGCTGTGCCCCTCAGCAGACCTCGAAAGTGGCGACAGTTTCACCGATCGCAGCCCCCCAGGGATGGCGAGGTCTAATTTGAGTCTGCGGTGAGTACCCACTGTGCTGTGCCCCTCAGCAGCCCTCGAGATTGGCGACAGTTTCACCGATCGCAGCCCCCCAAGGATGGCGAGGTCGAATCTGAGTCTGCGGTGAGTACCCACTGTGCTGTGCCCCTCAGCAGCCCTCGAAAGTGGCAACAGTTTCACAGATCGCAGCCCCCCAAGGATGGCAAGGTCTAATCTGAGTCTGCGGTGAGTACCCACTGTGCTGTGCCCCTCAGCAGCAGTACCCTCTCTGCTGGCCTCCCCAGCAGCCCTCGAAAGTGGCGACAGTTTCGCAGATCGCGGCCCCCCAGGGACGGCGAGGTCCCGTTTGGATCCACAGTGGGTACCCGTTCTGCTGGCCTCCCCAGCAGCCCTCGAAGGTGGCGACATTTTCACAGATCGCGGCCCCCCAGGGAGGGCAAGGTCCCGTTTTGATCCGCCGTGAGTACCCTCCCCGCTGGCCCCCCCAGCAGCCCTCGAAAGTGGCGACCGTTTCGCAGATCGCAGCCCTCCACGGACGGCGAGGTCCCGTTTGGATCCGCGGTGAGTACCCTCTCTGCTGGCCTCCCCAGCAGCCCTCGAAAGTGGCGACAGTTTCGCAGATCGCAGCCCCCCAGGGACGGCGAGGTCCCGTTTGGGTCCGCGGTGGGTACCCTCTCTGCTGGCCTCCCCAGCAGCCTTCGAAAGTGGCGACAGTTTCGCAGGTCGCAGCCCTCCAGGGACGGCGAGGTCCCGTTTGGGTCCGCCGGTGAGTGCCCTCTCCGCTGGCGTCCCAGCGCCTCGAAAGTGGCGACAGTTTCCGCAAGTCGCAGCCCCCAGAGGACGCGAGGTCACGTGTTGGATCTGCGGTGAGTACCTTCTGCTGGCCTCCCCAGCAGGCCTCGAACGTGGCGTCAGTTTCGCAGATCGCAGACCCCCAGGGATGGCGAGGTCTACTTTGAATCTGCGGTGAATGCCAACTGTGCCGGGCCCCCCAGCAGCCCTCGAAAGTGGCGACAGTTTCGCAGATCGCAGCCCCCCAGGGATGGCGAGGTCAAAGGCAGGGGGGAAGAGAGGGACGGGAAGGAAGGAAGGAAGGAAGGAAGGTTCGCGCGAGCAGTGCTCTATTCAAAACGAGAACCCAACGCAAGAGGGTTGGGAACTACTTGTAAGGAAAAGGAATGGAGGAGGAGGGGGAGGAGGAGGACGAGGAGGAGGAGGAGGAGGCTAAGGAGGAGGAGGAGGAGGAGGAGGAAGAGGAGGAAGAGGAGGAAGAGGAGGAGGAGGCTGGCAGTAATCTCTCTGCGAAGCCCGAATATTACCACCATCACCGAGATGGGGAGCATCTTCCCTCGGTGGAGATCAGCCCCGACACGGTTGCTGGCGCCCACCTCCAAGCCTCCGATCGAGTCCCTTCGAGGCCTGTGTTGAACACCGTAAACATGTTTTGAACGCCCACTGCCTAGACTTCAGTGGGGATTGTCCCTCTCTACAGGAGGAATATGCACAATTTGTAAGAAAAAAAAGCTTGGGCACGGTTGTTGTACTATTGTTGCTGTTTGGGGGGATTCCTTAAACATGTTTCATTGTTCGTTCAATATCCGCCTGTAGGAAGACGTGCCCGACCTAAGCCTAGAACCCCCGGGCGGTCCCCGGGGTTTCCAGCGCGACGCCTCTTGAGACGAGAGGGGCGCAAAAAGGGCCCCAAGAGGCGCCCAAGAGGCACCCAAGACGGTTCGGGAGGGCCCCGAGTCGGCCCAAGGAGGCTATATATATATATAGAGATATACACATATATATATATATATGGCCCCCAGGACGCCCCAAGAGGGCTCCAAGAGGCCCACCCAAAGGGCCCCGAGAGGCCAAAGTCACTGATCCCCCTTCGACGTTGAATGATTTTAACGTTAGGTCGGGCCTGTCCCCCTACAGGGGGATTTTGGACGAAAAATGGAAAACTACTCAAACAAATATTCAAAAGATGGCCAAACATACTCCAAAAATTATCCCCATACTATTTTCCCCAACCATCCTGTGGTGTTGGGTCCTCGTTTTGAAAAGACGGTGGCCCGCGTCTCCTCTCCTCCTCTCCTCCTCCGCCTCCTCTCCCCTCCTATCATCCTCATCGTCATCATCATCATCATCGTCATCATCATCCTCCTCCCGCTGCCCCCTCCCTCCTGCCATCATCAGCATCATCACCATCATCATCATCATCACCATCATCATCATCAGCAAAAGCAGCCACTTCGGCACACCCCTCACACGTTTCGTGGCCCCATAGGGAGCTCCACCGAAGGCCCCAGTGGCTGCGCTCCCATGCGCCCACCGCACCCATTTCGGCACACCCCTCACACGCTTCGTGGCCCCATAAGGAGCTCCAGCGAAGGCCCCAGTGGCTGCGCCCCCATGCGCCCACCGCACCCATTTCGGCACACCCATCACACGTTTCGTGGCCCCATAGGGAGCTCCAGCGAAGGCCCCAGTGGCTGCGTTCCCATGCGCCCACCGCACAGATTTCGGCACACCCCTCACACGCTTCGTGGCCCCATAGGGAGCTCCACCGAAGGCCCCAGTGGCTGCGCTCCCATGCGCCCACCGCACATATTTCTGCACACCCCTCACACGCTTCGTGGCCCCATAGGGAACTCCAGCGAAGGCCCCAGTGGCTGCGCCCCCGTGCGCCCACCGCACCCATTTCGACACACCCATCACACGTTTCGTGGTCCCATGTGGAGCTCCAGCGAAGGCCCCAGTGGCTGCGCTCCCATGCGCCCACCGCACCCATTTCGGCACACCCATCACACGTTTCGTGGCCCCATAGGGAGCTCCAGCGAAGGCCCCAGTGGCTGCGCCTCCCATTGCGCCCACCGCATCATAGATTTCGGCACACCCCTCATACGTTTTCGTGGCCCCATAGGGAGCTCCACCGAAGGCCCCCGTGGTCTGCTCTCCCATGCGCCCACCGCACATAATTTTCTGCACACCCCTCACACTTTCGGGCCCCCTAGCGCACTCCAGCGAAGGCCCCCAGTGGCTGCGCTCCCATTGCGCCCACCGCACCCATTTCGGCAACACCCATCACACGTTTCGTCCCCACATGGAGGCTCCAGCGAAGGCCCCAGTGGCTGCGCTCCCATGCGCCCACCGCACCCACTTCGGCACACCCCTCACACGTTTCGTGGCCCCATAGGGAGCTCCAGCGAAGGCCCAAGTGGCTGCGCTCCCATGCGCCCACCGCACCCATTTCGGCACACCCCTCACACGTTTCGTGGCCCCATAGGGAGCTCCACCGAAGGCCCCAGTGGCAGGGTCCGCATGCCTCCCCACCACCCATGTCGGCACACCCCTCACACGTTTCGTGGCCCCATAGGGAGCTCCACCGAAGGCCCCAGTGGCAGGGTCCGCATGCCTCCCCACCACCCATTTCGGCACACCCCTCACACGTTTCGTGGCCCCATAGGGAGCTCCACCGAAGGCCCCAGTGGCAGGGTCCGCATGCCTCCCCACCACCCATTTCGGCACACCCCTCACACGTTTCGTGGCCCCATGGGGAGCTCCACCGAAGGCCCCAGTGGCCTGGTTCGTATGCCTCCCCAACACCCATTTCGGCACATCCCTCACACGTTTCGTGGCCCCATGGGGATTTCCATTGAAGGCCCCAGTGACTGGGTTCGCATGCGCCCCCACACCAATTTCGGCACACCCCTCACACGTTTCGTGGCACCATAGGGAGCTCCACCGGAGGCCCCAGTGGCTGCGTTCGCATGCCGCCCCCACACCAATTTCGGCACACCCCTCACACGTTTCGTGGCCCCACAGGGAGCTCCACCGAAGGCCCCAGTGGCTGCGTCCGCATGCCGCCCCCGCACCAACTTCGGTGCACCCCTCACACGTTTCGTGGCCCCATAAGGAGCTCCACCGAAGGCCCCAGTGGCAACGTTCGCATGCCGCCCCCACACCCATTTCGGCACACCCCTCACACGTTTCGTGGCCCCATAGGGAGATCCACCGAAGACGGTACTCACACCAGCATTACTCACAACTGCATATGGTTGGGTCCTTCGCCAGGCTAATTTGACTATTTTTGAATATTCCCCCTGTAGAGGGAGGCCCGACTTAATTTGAACGCTCTCCGCTCTCGCATTTTCCGGCGATCGACGCTCCAAGACGGCGCGACACGCCCCCGAGGTCGCCCCAAGAGACTACCAAGGGGGCCACCAGGCGACCCCCAGGGGGCCCCAAGGCTGCCCAGGAGCGCCCCAAGAGGGCCCCAGAAGGGAAACGCGGACCGACACTTCGAGCCCTCCGCCCCGAGACGCCGCCAGCCGGCTCCCGGGGTCTCCACAGAAGCTCCAGGAGACCCCCAGCAGGCCTAAGTCAGGTACCAAAAGGCCGTTGAGAGGCCCACAAGACTCCCCAAAACTGCCTCCAACAAGCTTCCGAGAGGCCTCCCAAGCGATCTGAGAGATCCCCACGGGCATCCAAGAGGCCACCGACCTACCACCTAGTCACGGTGGCGGGATGGGCCGAAGGCCATTATATCGTATCCCGCAACTCCATGAACAATGAAAGCGCATGCTGCCACTGCCCACCTTTCCCACACGCGCTGATTCCAGAGTTGTGGCAAACTTCAGACTAGCTGCAAATGCGCGGCAGTGACGACCACATGTTACGAAGAGGGTGAAACGAGTGACAGCTAAATTACAAGACCGTTGAAGGAAATCTCACGAAACATGGGTGGTGTCACCGCCGGATGTTTGCAACGAGGCTGCTGGACAGTCTGGAAAGAAAACGGGCGCGCAGCTTGCTGAGCAAATACCGAAGGCAGTCCGGGGCACCGCCAGACCCATCCAGGGAGAACCTTGGCGCGGGCCGAGGGCGGCTGGGGACCACCGTGGGAAGCTGAAGGGCATAACATGTGGCGTCTCCGTGTGGAGGGTTCTGGATCCCTCCAGGGCCTCATGAGACATCAGGGCGAAATTCTGAGCGCGAAACATGTTCGCCTGATAAGACGCAAGGGAACTCTCACCATCCTGCTTGCCTATTTGGCCCCTCGGCACCTCTTGGCAATCTCACCAAAGGCATGTCTGGGCGGTCCGGAGCGTCTCCAAACCTGGCGCTGGGCCGAACCAATCAAGTTGGAAGGCGAGGACGTCGGGACCGTTGGCACCCAGGAGCGAGCGGCGTCGGGCTTTCCAGACGTGATGACGTTCGGGTCCAGCCTGTCCACCCGCCGCTCCCTCAACAACGACAGCACCAGTTGCCAGCACCCACCTTTCTGGCACGCGCCGACTGCAGCGCGGTAGCTAACCGCGTCCACCTCGAGCACAGACTGAGACATCTCCCTGAACAACGACAGCGCATGCTGCCACTGCCCGGCCTTTCCACAAACACTGATGGCAACATTGAAGTGGACTGTGCTGACTAGTGCACTTAACTGTAGCGCGTCGTGTAACAACATTAATGCCGCATTCCACAGCCCCGCTCTTCCGCAGTCCTTCATGGAGACTGCGAGAGAACGACCACCTTTTTGGGATCCGTGCTGCTCCGGCATTGCCGCCGCACCGCTCAAGTGGACATTGTGCTGCAGTAGCATCGATACCAGCGGCCCGCAAGCCAGCGTAATTCTGAAGCCTGAGCTGACTGCTGCTGTTCGTGTTGGTGTGTCATGTGTTTGTGTATATATATGTATGTATACAGAGATGTATGCAGTTTGGGCTTCGAAACTACGATACTACAAAACGAACAACTATGCAACTACAAGGAGCTGAGTGTAGCTTGCAGTGGATCAGCTGCGCGACTCACATGTTCCTCCAGTGCGGCGGTGGCGCTTTCGCGGTTCAAACTCAACCAGGGCGCGGAAACACTCTGTCCGTTACAACATGGGCACATGTTACGATGCTGTCACTGTTAGCTCGCGCGTGTGCCACTCGCATCATGAGCCGGGTGCAAAGAGGTGGAAAGGTGATCCGCAATCTCAATCGAGGGGGGCAGAGGCCGATGCTGCGCTGCAGCAATGTACCGCCGAGGCCGAAACAGCGACCAACACAAGCTGGGGTAGCAAATGGACGCGACGCGTGGCCACCGTCAAACACAGGAGGGAGGAGGCGCGAGAGCAAGCGAGGGGCCCGCGGCTCGTGCATGCGCAGACGACCCCAGACCTCACCGGAGACACCGTGCACCCAGGGCACGGAACCACATCGTTGCACCACACGTTCGTGCGCATGCGCTCGAGAGCAAGACGTGGCCTCCCGTGGTATGGGAGAGCCGACCCGAGCATGCAAGGGAAAGATGGCGCGGTCTGGGCGGAGCACGAACGCCACGCATGAGGAGACGGGCGAGCGAAGCGAGCTAGGCCAGACGGAAAGCCCGACGGGCGCCGGACAGGCCATGTGGCCCAGATGCAACGGAGACCCAGAGGCACGCGGCGCATCTTGCAGACCAGCCAGAAAGCGGAGAGAAGGAGGTGAAGAAACTTTGGTATGAAAAACACGGGTCCTGAGGGAAACGGGTCATGCACACTGGGGCCTTCCTCCATGGCAAATCCACCGCTGTGCCCCATGGCGCGCTTGAGGCGAGGCAAAATGCCAACTGCTGTCTGGGAAAGTTCCTGAACTATTCCCGAAAACCCCTCCCCTCTGCTCACATCCAACTGCACGCTCCGCCTCTATCCTGCCTCATGAAAAAAGACGATGGGCCCCCGCTCCAGAAGCCACCCCTTTCAAAACATATGGACCCGTGCCCCCGAGCTTCCACGACGGCTCACGCGCGCAACCGAGGCCGCCAAGAATACCCAAGATGGCCCCGCGGCAGCCTCATGCATCCTCAAGACGGCCCAGCATGCTTCCAAGAAGGCCAAGGATGGCCACAAGAGGACCCCCACCAGGGTCCGAAGCGGCTACGATTATCTGTTTGCCTTGGACTTTTGACAACATGTGCGCTCTCGCCGTCTCGGGCCTCCGTCAGCCCAAGACGGCACGGGAAGCCTCCAAGATGACCCAAGACTGCCCAAGAGGGCCCCCAAGAGGGTCCCAGCATGGCCCAAGAGGGCCCCAAGACAGCCCAAGAGTGGGCCTTCGAAATCCAGAAGACGGAGCGGACCCACGACGGCCGTGAGACACCCCATAGACTGCCAAGATGGCCCCAAAACGGCCAAAGAGAGCCCCAAGATAGCCAAAGAGGGCCACAAGACCGCACAAATGGACCCCCAAGACGTCCCCACAGGAGCAAGAGTCAGCCTCAAGAGGGCCCGAATGAGCCCCAGGAGAGCTCCTCAAGAAGTAAAGACGAAATTCACAGTTGTCACATGTGACTGCCTTCTTCTTCTTCCTCTTCCTCCTACTCCTCCTCCTCTTCTACCTCATCCTCCTCCGCATCCTCCTCAGCAGCAGCATCATCGTCATAATCATTGTCATCCTCAAGCTCATCATCAACAGCAGCATCATCGTCATTATCATCATCAGCAGCATCATCAGCATCATCATCACATCATCATCATCATCATCATCATCATCATCATCATCATCATCATCATCATCATCATCATCATCATCATCATCATCATCATCATCATCATCATCATCATCATCATCATCATCATCATCATCATCATCATCATCATCATCATCATAAAAATCATCATCATAATCGTGGTCGCCATCATCATCATCATCATCATCATCATCAGCAGCATCATCATGAGCATCATCATCATTAGCATCATACGCATCATCATCATCATCATCAGCATCATCATCATCATCATCATCATCGTCATCGTCATCATCATCATCATCATCATCATCGTCATAATCGTCATCGTCATCGTCATCGTCATCAGCATCGTCATAATCAACAACAACATCATCATCAGCAGCAGCATGGCCATCATCATCAGCATCAGCATCAACATCAGCATCGTCGTCGTCATCAGCAGCATCATCACCACCGCAACACCATCACCATCGATATCGCCATCATCATCGTCATCATCGCCATCATCATCGCCATCAGCACGCTTCTCCCAGAATGGGGGGGCGGAGAGGAGAGGAGGAGGGGTGTTGGAATCGGGAGCGGCCAAGAGGGGGGTGTCCAAGGGGGGGGGGGGGGGGGCAAAATATGGCCGGAGGCGTTTGTGCGCGGCCCAGCGGGGGGGCCGGACCCGTATTGAAATAAGATAAGAGAGGCGACCTATGGAAGTCTGGGGAAAATATCATGCCCCCCGCCATGAAATCCACCCCCCATAGTCATTCTATGAGGGGGGGTCAATATCCACCACCCCCCCACCTCCCCACCTCCACCACCCCCCCCCCACCCCCCCCCACCCCCTCCCCCCCACACCCCCCACCCCCCCACCCCCCCACCCCCCCCCCCCACCCCCCCCCCCACCCACCCCCAGTCCACCCCCCACCCCACCCCCCCCCCCCACCCCCACCCCACCCCACCCCCACAACCACCACCCCCCCCCCACCGCCCCCCCCCTCTTTTCCGCCCCCGAAGTTGGGGGGCGGAGAGGAGAGGAGGAGGGGTGTTGGAAGGAGAGGAGGGCGATGGGGCGGGGCGGGCACGATGCTCCTCGAGCTGCGCCCGCCGGAACGCCTGGCCGCGGCGCCCCGTCCGCTCCGGGGGGGCCCCGCGCGGCAGCGCCGCCGCGCGCTGGCGCCGCGCCGCCGCCGCCGCCGCGAGGACGTCTGGCTCGTCGCACCTCGCTCCTCGCTCCTCGCTCCTCGCTCCTCGCTCCTCGTTCCTCGCTCCTCGCTCTCGCTCCTCCTATCCTCCTCCTCCTCCTTCTCCTCCTCCTCCCCCTCCTCCTCCTTCTCCTCCTCCTCCTCCTCCTCCTCCTCCTCCTCCTCCTCCTCCTCCTCCTCCTGCGCCTCCTCCTCCCCCGCCTCCTCCTCCCCTGCTGCCCCTTGCCCTCAGCCCCCTCGGCGAGCCCAGGCAGGCAGCGAGCGGGGGCATGGGGCGGGTCCTCGTCGGCTCGGTGGGGGCCGCCGAGCGGCTGGGCGGGGCTCCCGCGGCCCGAGAGGAGCCCAAGCGAGCTGCGGGACAGGCCCAGAGGCCTTCAAGGCAGGCCGGGACGCCCCCAAGACGGCCCAGGAAGCGGAGGCAGCCAGGCGAGGGGGCTCCCGCGGCCCAAGAGGAGCCCAAGCGAGCTGCGGGACAGGCCCAGAGGCCTTCAAGGCAGGCCGGGACGCCCCCAAGACGGCCCAGGAAGCGGAGGCAGCCAGGCGAGGGGGCTCCCGACTGGCCGAGCTGGAGCGTGCAAGCGCCCACCTGGAGGCCTGCCCCAGCCTCGGCTCGGGGTGCGTTCGAGCGGCCGCGCCTCGCCGAGCGCGTCCTGGGCGCCGGGGCTCCCAACCCCTCCCTCGGCGGCTGTCAGGCTCAGCGCAGCAGTGATCGTGCCCTTTTCAGGCCACGTGCGCTGCTGTCGCTGCTGCCAGGCAAAAGGTTGCGGAGTGCGCGCGTGCGAGCCCCCTCGGCGAACAACCTCTCGGCGGCGAGCCCGGGTGGGAAGTGAGAGGAAGCAGGCCTTCTCAAAGGCGGCGGAGCTTCTCAGAAGCCCTCCGGCCTTCCGAGAAGCCGTCTCTGTCTCCCGAGGAGGCCCAGCAACATGTTCCGCAGGACGACGGAGTTCCGAGCCTTGAGCAGAGGCCGGCCCCCTGTGCATTCCCCCCTGGGGCTCGCCGCAGACTCTCCCCCTCGGCCCTTCCTCGAAGGCGGAAGGGTCGACGAGGTGCTCGGAGGCTTCAGGCGGGTTCTCACTCGTCGTTCGTCGTTCGTCGTTCGTCGCCGCCGCCGAGTGCTTCCGAAGATCTCCCCCCAGTGACCGTGTGCCGGTTTCGGCGGGCCGCCGCCGCTGTCTGACTATTGTCCCCCGAGGCTATCCAAGACCCTCGGAGGCTCTCGGAGGTTCTCGGAGGCTCCAGCGGATTCTCGCTCGCCGTCGTCGTCGTCGTCGTCGTCGTCGTCGTCGTCGTCGTCGTCGCTCGTCGCCGCCGCCGCCGTCGTCCTCGATCGGTCTGTCCGTCCGCTCGTCCTGCACGTCGTCGTCGTCGAAGCGGGGCGCCACGAATCGGCTCCTGGAGCTGGGGCGCGCCGCCCGTGCGACCCCACGAGGCCGTCGCCACCCCTGCCGAGCAGATCGAGCGCCGCGCCCCGTTGCCGATGGAGGGTGCAGCGGAGGACAGGGCACGGCTGGGTCGGAGCTGCAGCTGGGGCAGCCCGGGGCAAGCCTCCTCGTCCCGCTGGGCAGTCATGAACGAGTCGGTCACCACACCCTCGGGGTCGCCGTGGCCGGAAGGCGAAAGCCGCCGAGTGGCCGCCGCGATGGCACCAAGACCAGATCAAGGGGAAGACGGGCAGATGGTGGGCATACGGATTCCTGCTGCTAATGCCGGAAGGGCCGCCGCGATGGTGCACGTGTGGATCAAACGGCACGACGGACGCATTGGCAGACACACGAATCCCACCAGCCCTTTAAGGCGTAAGGTGGTCTAGGGAGCTTCCTCTTCCACCCCTCCCTCTTCCCCTTCGAGGAGGGGTTTATCACTGTTCCCTTTAAATAAACACCCCCTCCCCCACCCGGCCGGCAGCCAACCCGGAACCATGCGCACAGCATGAGGGCCCCCCCCCCACCATCCCTGTCAAAAAACAATCCAAAACGCACTTTACTTCCAAATTCGGAGCATGCGCAGCCAACCCGATGCGGGCCCCCCCCACCATCCCTGTCAAAAAAGAATATACAGTACAGTTCGGGGCAAAGTCTGAAGTCATGTTTGTCAGGCCCGCGGGCACTTCGGTTTGTTTTTCGACAGGAACGGCGGGGGTGTCACCGTGTTGCATGCTGCGCGCAGGGCTGCCATCCCTGACAAACACACAATACAAAATGCACCTCGCGGCTAGTAGTGCGCGGCCACCCCGCGATCACTGTCAAGTGGCTTTTGTCAGGGACGGCGGGGGTGGTGGTGTATGGCCTGCTGTGCGCAGGCCCACCAGACACAATGATGGGCATTGGTTTCGACAGGGATGGTGGGGGCCGACATGTTTCCCGATGTGTCCTGTCATGTGCGCAGGCGCACCTGACACACTCTGCACGTGCCCCGGACGTGGTGCACCTGGCGCGAGTGGAGAGAGCATCTGGCGCACTAGGCGTGCCTAGCACGCTCGGGCCCAGGGGTGCCTGGCGCGCGTGGCGCGCCTGGCACACGTGGCGCACCTCGCCCCAGCGTCGCGCACATGGGCTCGGCTTTGGTTCCCAGCAGCTGCCCATCAAAAGACAACCGCGGAACATGCTGAGGCTCGGGTGCCACTTATTAGGAGGCAACTACTGGGAGGTCTTCGTCGGAAGGATTAAGGAGGATTAAGCCCCAATGGGGCGCTGTTACGCCAGATTGGGCCTCACATCAAGCTGGATTAAGCCGAATTAGGCGGGACTAAGCCGGATGAAGCGGGATGAAGCGGGACTAAGCCAGATCAAGCAAGATTTCGGACCAGGGCGAGACCAGAATTTGACCTCCCAGAAGTTGCGTCCGAGCACCTCTGTGTTGGGAGGGCGGGTGGGAGTGAGCTGGACGGCCTGCTACCTGGAGGGCGTCTGGACCCCTACCCCCTCCCCTGGACCTGGACGGGGGGCTTCGCGGGGGGATGGCCTCGGCGAGGAAGCACCAAAAGCACTGGCTTTCCCAAGGTTTTGGCCCCACCTTGGCCGTCTGGGGGGGGGGGGAGCTACATAGGGAGCACCCCCTGCTTTGATCGATCTCCTCCGAGATGGCCCCAAGAGCGCTCCCGAGGCTCCCAAGGGTGCCCCAAGAGGGCCCCAAGAGGTGGCCAGGAGGCCCCAAGAGGCCCCCCAGAGGCACCCAAGACGCTCCAAGAGGCATGGGCGAGAATGCTAAGATCATTGATTTTACTCAGCCTCCCGGTTGGGGAGGGCACTGATTAAGATGACTCCAAGAGCGCCTGGGAGAGCCCAAGCTCACCCTCAAGATGGCTCAAGATATCCCAAGATGCCTCAAGACCGCTCCCACGATGCTCCAAGAGGTCCGAAGACCGCTCCAAGACGGCTCCAAGTGGCCAACGAGCTCCGCCAGGAGGCCCCGAAGAGGCCCACATCCTTCCAAAACGTAGGGGAAATTAATGTGTTTGGCTTTCTCGCCCCGATGGCCATCCGAGGCCTCAAGATGGCTCCAAGATTGCCCAAGAGGGCCCCAAGAGAGGCTCAAGAGAGCCCCAAGACGGCCCCAAGAGCGCCCAAGAACGCCCCAAGAGCGCCCAGGAGGCCCGAGAAGGCCCCAACAAGCGCCCAAGAGGCCTCCAAGAGGCTCCCAACAGACCCCCGAAAGGCCCCAAGAAGCTCTGAGAAGCACCCAATACGCTCTAAGAGTCGTCCAGGACCGCCAAGAGGCCCCCAAGACGCTCCAAGAGGCCTCCACTGGAGGACCCTTCCTCTGCGTGCTGCCCACTTCCCTGATCGAGGCAATTCCTCTGGGCATCGTTGCTGGATGGGCTGATGGGGTTACGCGAAGCGTCTAGGATTCTTTATACTGCAAGTGTTCCTGTCGATCGCATGACAGATGAGAGAAGACATCAACAAATGTTGGGGGATCCAACAGGTCCCGATACCGCTGCTTCCCAGCCAGACCTTTCCCTGGGCGCGCTCTGACCAGGATTTCGAGGCGAATCTGGCAGAGGCGACGAAGGCATCCCAAGAGGGCCAAACAGGGGAAACTGGCCGAAGAGTAGCGGTATCGGTATCTTCGAGGGTGCGCCGCTGGATAACCCCAAGGGGGGGGGGTTGGGACCCCCCCCACACCTTTCCTCGATCCGTCGTCGGGGACCCCCCCCCCTCCCCCCCTTCCCCGATCCGTCGTCGGGGACCCCCCCCCCTTTCCTCGATCCGTCGTCGGGGACCCCCCCCCTTTAGTGTATTCAGGGAGATCCACTGGCGCACTTTCGGTATCTTCTCCTGCTCCGAAGTTCTATGTCTAACTAAACAGCTGTGCTGTGAGACTGTTGTCCGGAGTTTTTTCTAGGAGACACAAAGAGATAGGGGGTGCAAGGGGAGGGTGGGCAGTGACGGAACGCGGGGGCGGGGAATGGGCAAGGCGACATGGGAGAGGGGGAGAGAGAGGGAGGAGGTCTGGAACAGGGGCTCGACCCAAACAATGTTTTTCGTTGTCGTATTGTTTTCGTTGTCCCTCCTTGTCTCCAAGCCGCCTTTGCTGCAAAACGAAATCGAAACGAAAACGGCCCACGAAATCGCCAAAATACAATGTTGGTCGCCCCTGGTCAAAAAATGACTCTATATCATTTCGCTCGTTTCGCACCCTGCGAAGCGATATAGTCAGAGCCCCTGACGCATTGATCCCAACATGCGTTCATTTTGTGTTGACCAAATCTTTGCGCTTGTGCCCCAGACAGCAATGACATCATCCGCCCCCCCTCCATCCTGAGTGCGCTACCCCCCGCGCCCACTCCCAGCCCCCACCCCGAGCCCCCACTCCTTCCGAGCGTGACCCCGGATTTGCGCAGCAACGCAACCCAGATAGGAGAAGACTCGGAGGTTCGGGGGGGAGACCGAAGTGGAATGTGAGGTGCTCCAACCAGGAAGTCGTGTCGTTTCTTGAGTGTCGTGCGTGCAAGCGACGCAACAATGCGCGAAATCCTGCTCTTCTCAGAGGCCGGCCACCACAACAAAAAAGTCCTTCGGGTGTTCCGCCGGCTGTCCTGATGGATGTCACGATGGTTGTCCCGATGTTGCCCAGATGGGTGCCCCGATTGCTGTCCAGATGGTTATCCCGATAATGGTCCCGACGGTTGTTCAGATGGTTGTCCCGATGGCTGTCCCGATGATCATCTCGATGATTTATCATACGGTTATCCCGATGGTTGTCCCGATGTTTACTCCGATGGCTGCCCCCATGGCTGTCCCTATGGTTTCCACGGCGGTTGTCCCGACGGGTGTTCCGACTATCTCAGTGTATATATATATATGTTCGATCGACCGGCGGATAACGATACGAGAATTATACATGTAGAATGGAAATGAAGTATGTTGGGATGGATCCATAGCCGTCATACCGATAGGGGTAAAGCATGCATGCGTTGTAAGACCGGTCGGTAATAATATCGACCGATCGACTGATGCTGAGATCAATACATTGATCGCGACACTAAAACATGATTAGATCTTACCCGTGGCTGTAGCGTGGTTACCTTGTCCCGTGGTTGTCCCGCGGTTGTCCCATGGTTATCAAATATTGGTTATCACATATTTCGGAATCTGGGGGCATCCTTGGGAGGCGTTCGGACCAACACGGCTCCAACATAGCTTCAGCGAGCCCAAGGTAGCTTCCAAGGGCTCAAGATACCCCAAGATGGCCACCATTTGTGTCTCAAATAGACCCCAACACACCCCAAGACGGCCCCGAGTGGCCACGGAGCCTCCCGAGGAGACCCTAAGAGGCCAACGTCCATCCCAAACTGCAAGAACTCAAAATGTGTTGTACAATCCTGTTTTCGACTCCGACGGGATCTTGAGGCCTCAAGATATTATAATCCCAACAGGGCCCAAGTAATACCCCTGAGAGGTTCCATATGGCCCCACTACAACCTAGAGAACGCCCCCAGACGCTACCTTCGAGAATCCAGAGGGGCGACGCTAATGATGACCACCCCTTGTCTGATCGATATCCTCCAAGACGGCCCCAGCAGGGCCCCCAAGGCCCTCCCCCGACAGGTCGGAGAGATGCATCTCAAACGTCCCCAACGAGGCCCCAGGATGGCCCAGGTAAGCTGCCAAGGGGCTCACAGATCGTTCGCAGAGACACGCGATGACGTGCATGGTCGACCTCTGGGTCTGCTCCGGCAGACCCAGGTCTCCGGCTCGGCGGCGCCCCCCCCCTCTCTACGCCATCGCGCGCGCCCGCACGTCCCTGCTCAATGCCAGAGGGGGCGGTGGGGCTACTCTTGGATCGCGACCGCGGCGAAGAGGTCGGGCGGCGCCCAGGAACGGTGCACTCGGGCAGCGGCCACATTTCGCGCACGGGGAGGAGGAGGGGCGAAAAGAGAAGAACAAGAACGAGCAGGAGGGACGGACAGCAGGCGAACCCCACCGTTGCTCAGAAGAGCGCCGGCACCAGGAGGAGCTTCTGGGCGTCGTGCAACACCAGGAGGTAATTCGTGGGGATACTTTTTGGTTCGCGGCTCCAAGGAGACGCCCAGGGAGCGGTCACAACGTCCGGGGCGCGGTACGATGTAAATTGGCCGCAGTGGCGCATGCACGTGCCAGGAACAGTATGCCCCTCATTAAAACGCAGACAGCATCAGCGGGTGACCGGCACAGAGGCGCGGTAACCGGCGGTGGAACGGGGGGGAGAAGTCGCACTTGCGGCGCCAAGCTCCAATTCGTGGGGATACGCGAAGCGTCAAGAATTCGGAAAGTCTGGCCAGCCCCTTACGCAGAGTGCGAGCGAGATCAGGGTCCAACGCCACAGTGGATATTCAACGTTGTCGCCTAAAGATGTTGAACAGAACTGTTAGAGCGCAAGTGGTGTGTCAGTGGTCTCCTGTGCTCCAGCATTATGAATTGGCACCTTCAAAGACACATTTGGCTTCAGTGGTTGGTATTGCGCGCATACATGTTCCAACGGCATTTGTTCTTCGTTGGTTCCCAGTGTAGGTGTCCAGCCATGCTCTAACACTTGTTGCAATCCGTTCGCTGGCCCCCAATTGGGTGTCGTATGATCCTCGGCAATCGCCTGTCGCGTTGTATTAGTTGGGAGATCGATGGGTGTGCATATAATGGGAAAGTCAGGCAACTTGATTTGGTGATAGGGGGGATCGATGGTAGGATAGAGAGACCGATTGATATTGGAGTCCGACGCCGATCGTAAACCGAAAGCTGCACCAATCCCGCCTCCCAACATCCTATCAACCGAAGCTTAGTCTTCAAGCGAGGGATGCAAGGATGTAAGCTTGTGGAAACGTTGGGAAATGAGGAGGGCGGACAGATGGAGGGGGAGGAGAGACGAGGGCGGAGAGAAGGGATAGGAGACAGGGAGGGAGCAGGGTAGGTGGGATGCTGGCCCATGGATGTCCTGCAGCCTCCTCATGGTGCGGCGCAGGCTCCTCCACCCCATTATCATCCTCATCCTCCTCCGCCTGCCTCTTCCGCCCCCTCCTCCTCCGCCACGACGTCTGGCTGAGCTGGGCTCGGAGCCGTAGTCAGGCTCAGCACGGTGAAGAAGCTGACCATCACGTACAGGACGAACGCCTCTGCCCCGCCGGCCCGAAGAAGCATCCTCCTCGTATGGTGGTGACATTTGGGAGTGGCCCGGGGGGGGTCTGCGCTGGACGGGTCCCGAGGAAGTCTGTCAAGAGAGGCGCAAGGCAAGGCGGCCCGGTGCCGGAGCGGCCCCCTGGAGGGCAAGGGCGAGGGCAAGGGCGAGGGCCCCGCGGCGAGGGCGAGGCCGCTCGAAATCGAGGGGGGGCGAGGGCAAGGGCGAGTCCCCTGTCAAGAGGGGGGGCCAGGGCAAATCCACTCAGACTCAGAATCGCTCCCTGGACCCCTCCCCCCGGGGTCGAGCCTGGCAAAAAATTCCCGAGCCGCGTCCGGCCGTGGCGACGACTGGGTCCTTGTCTCCCCCCCCCCGTCCTGCCGCCCAGTAGTAGCCCTTGCTGGGCCGCCTCCGCCCCCGCGCCGGCTCCTGCGCACCAGGCCCGGTCTCTCGAGCGCGTCGTGCGGCGACTTGGCGGCGCGCACAAGGGGGTGGAGTGGGGGAAGGCTTCTTAGAAGGAAGCCGCTTCTTAGAAGGCGCCGGCCTCACATCTATAGATAAAGCCCGCGCCTTCTAAGAAGCAGGGGTGGTTCTGAGAAGCCTTCCCCCTCCCCCACCCCCCTCTGCGCGTGGCTGAGCGACGGCGGGGTGCCAATGCCATCGCGATGCTCCCGGGCATGGCCGCGTCGTGGCACGAGCCACGACGACTTGTTGCCGCCTTCGGCTTCCGGGGGCCCTCGCCAGGCCCATAAACTGTCAAAAACGGCTCGGGAGGAAAAGCCGACCCCTTGGGAACGGATTGGAACTTCCCATGGGACGCACACTGACATACCAATACTACATGTCCGCCTTGGAGGCGCGCGTCCGACCCGAACACATAGTGTACCCATCCTGTAGCAGATCGTGTCTCGAGCGGCGTGGCCAGAAAGCCAACGCGACGACGCACATATACTAGAAGATCTCTCGGTGCGCGCGTCGCCCCCTGGGGGGGCGACGAACACACAGTAGAAGTATGCTGGGGGGACGCCGATCCCGGGCCCACGTCTTGACAAAGTCGTGACGTCGCGCATGTCTTGCAGGGCACCGGCGCCAGTCTGCGGTGGCTCTGCAGCTCTGCCCCGCCCGGGCCTCCTCGGAAGGCTGGGAGTTCCCCCGGCCAAGCTCTCTCGGTCCTCCCAGCGCACCGACAACTTCTCAAGAAGACGCGAGGGCTTCTGAGAAGTCCCGCCGCCTTCTGAGAAGGCCCTCTCCTTCTCACTTCACCCTGTCGCTCGCCCCCGATTCTAGCCCCTACCCGGCCACGGAAGTGCGTTGACGATGCGGCTGCCACATCTCTACTTCCTCTAGCAGTGTGGGAGCCAAGATGGCGGTCGTCCTCCACAGACGACATGCCACAATCTGGAAGCATCCAGTGATATCGAAGTAGCAAGTGCTTCAGCTGAATGCAGATGAAGAGCAGCGCGAGATAAGCCGACAAAAAAAAACCGTATGTTCGCCAGCGTCGACCCCAAACGTCGACTTCCTGTGGTTAGCCACGGTGCAATCCACGCAGTGCAACCAAAGTGGTACAATATACAGGTGATGCAATCCATGTATAGTGCCAGCTACGTGGGAAACAGCACAGAGCAATGAACCGATCGGTAAGGCCGTGCAAGCAGTGCAACACACTTTCTTGGTCAGCGTCCGCAGGCAAGAGCGCCAGCGGCGAGTCCAGTCAGAGCGGACCGCGCAAAGACGAATTAACCCAAAGCGGTGGGCCGAAGCCTCACGCGGCACCTCGGCGGGCAGTGCAACACACGCAGAGCAGCAAAAGACAGACCAACGAGGTGCGAGCAGGGCGAGATCGACCAAGAGACGAGCACCGGCCTTCTCGCCCCGTGGCCCCTCGCCGGCCCCACGCCAAGGGTTAAGTCGGGCCTGTCCCCCTACAGGGGGATCTTCGACGAAAAATAAAAAATACTCCCAAAATAATCAGAAAATAAACCAAACATAGCCTCGGAACTACTCTTCGGGTACCCTTTGACCCTCTTGGGGTGATGTTGGGGCATCTTCCATTTTTCGTCGGCACTCCCCCTGTAGGGGGACACGCCCGACATAAGCCAAGGGGCGAGCATCCGTGAATTCGGGAGCGGCCAAGAGGGGGGTGTCCAAGAGGGGGGTGCGCAAATCATGACCGGCGGCATGTGCGCGGCCCAGCGGGGGGGGCCAGGGACGTAATGAAATAAGAAGAAGCGCCATGAAATCTGCGGAAATATCACGGCCCCCGCCATGATATCCACCCCCCCCTAGTCATCACCCCCCTCTTTTCCGCCCCCGATGTATGCGGGCGCAGCACCGCGTGGCGTGCGGAGTAGCCTTCGGCCGGGCCAGGCGGGGCCAAAGAACCCCGGCGCGGCACCGCGCGTGGCGCCCCCCGGATGCCCGCACCTCACCACGGCTCCTCGCAGGGGCCCCGCCTCCGACCCCTCCCCCTTTCGCCACCTCCTCTTCGTCCTCGCAGGGCTCGAGTTAAACAGTGTTTTCCGTTTTCGTTTTGTTTTCGTCGTCCCTAGTTCTGACTTCGTTCCACATGTGCTGCAAAACGAAGTCAAAACGAAAACGGTCCACGAAATTGCCAAAACACCGTCTAGCTCGAGCCCTGCGTCCTCGTCCTCCGTCCTCCCTCTCACCCATCCACCCCCCCGTCGTCCCGTGCGCGGCACATGGTGCTGCCTGGCGCGTGTGGAACGTGTCCTCACCGCCCCTCCTTGCAACTGCCAGCGACATCTCCTCACCGCCCCTCGCTTAAGGCTGTCAACGAAATATCATCACGCCACTCGCTTGAAACTACCAGCGAAAGATCCTCACCGCCCCTGGCCTGAAACTGCCAGCTAAATATCATCACCCCCTGGACTTTAAAATGCCAGCGAAATATCCTCAACCCCCTGGCCCAAAACTGCCAGCGAACTATCCTCACACCAAACGCTTGAAACTGCCAGCGAAATATCCTCACAGCCCTCGCTTGAAACTGCCAGCTAAATACCCTCACACCCCATCGCTTGAAACTGCCAGCGAACTATCCTCCAGCCCCTGACATAAAACTGCCAGCGACATATCCTCACACCTCTCGCTTGAAGCTGCCAGCGAAATACTATCCCCACTGCCCCTGGCCAAAAACTGCCGGCTAAATATCCTCCCCCTTGCCTAAAACTGCCAGCGAAGTGCTCTCACACCCTGGCCTCAAAACTGCCAGCGAAATATCCTCACCGCCCCTGGCCTAAAACTGCTAGCTCAATGTTCTCCCCCCCTCGACTTACAACCGCCAGCGAAATATCTACACCCCTCGCTTGAAACTGCCAGCGAAATATCCTCACCGCCCCTGGCCTAAAACTGCCATCTGAATATCCTCACCCCCTGGCCTCAAGCTGCCAGCGAAATATCCTCAACCCCTGGAAATAGTACTGCCATCTAACGGCTTTGGTGATTCAGTTGTCAGTTCAGTCAGTCAATCAATCAGTCAGTCAACCCACGTCCCAAAAATCGAATTACGGGCTGCGCCCGTAGAAGAAAGCTATAACGGAGTCCTGGAGGAATCGAACTTTGCAACAGTCGGACATGAGCAGAAAGTCTGCACAATCGTGGCAGAGTAGACGCATCACACACTCTTTAAGACGAGCCCTGGTGCGTGTTTCTAAAGAACCATACGACTCTGTCGATACTCCATGGGACGTATTGCAAGAGATAGGAAGAGAGAGAGAGAGAGAGGGAAAGGGAGAGAGAAAGAGAAACAGAAAAAAGACGCCGCACTGCGCGTCCAAGCGTGGCTCTAGGAAGAATGCAGCAGCGCGGGCGCCCGAGCGCCGGCGGGAAGAAGAAACCGCCCCAGACTTCCGAGCACAATTGAATATGGATGACGGATCCGTGGATCCGGCGCCCGCGCAGCAACGCCGCCTGATTTGGCGACGGAGCGCGTCGACTTGGCATGGAAGCGGGACCTGTCGCTGATCCACGCGCCTTCATCCATGTTTGCGCTTCCGCGCTAGCGGCGCGCAGTTGGCTTGAACAAGGAGATGCCTTCTTAGCAGGCCCAGGGGGGTTCTTAGAGTGGCTCGAAGTCATGTACTCTAAGGCTTCTCAGAAAAAGGGAGCCTTGCTAAGAAGAAACCACTGGCATGCCTAGGAGACAGCCCCACTCCCGCCACGCCCTCCTCCCGCCGCGCCCTTCTGCAAGCCGCCGGGAAATGGGGGCACCGAGAGGTACCGACACTGCTGCTCCCCAGGCCTCTCAAGTCCAGATGTGGCGGCGAGAATCGCCCCAGAGGCCCCAGAAAGGCGAGAAATGAGGGAGGGGCAGCGGCATCGGTACCTTGTCTCGGTGATGGACAAACCTCCCTTTCGTAAACCTCCCTTCAGTGAGGACGGCCCAGGACCGAAACCGACGGACCTGGACCCGCAAACATGACGGCCGCGACGCCCTCTCGCGAACCGAAAACGGCCAATTCGCTGATCGACGTGTCAGGGTAGGAGGTCTGTCCACCCCAGAGATAACCCGAGGATAACTCCCCCCAACAAAAAACATCGGCCAGGAATCGGCGACACGGCCGAACGTGCTACCACTTGAGCAGGGACCGACCGTCCCGGCATTCCTATAGCCCTACCATGAAAGGTTTGCAGAACCCAAACATGTTCTAATAACCACAACAGTGTTCTTAGAACATAAGCCCGATGTGATAGGAGGTCTGTCAGCCTCCGATTGCCCTCTGTTCCCCTGCTGTCGGGGATGGACAGCCCTCCCTTTAGTAAAACGTGGTTTGGTGAAAACGACCCGAGGCCCAAACCTGGCGGGCGCAAGCCTGGAAAACAACGGCCGCGGCGCCCTCTCGAGAACCGAAAACGGACAATTCACCAATCGACGTGTCACTGTTGGGGGTTGTGTCCGCCCCCGATGCTGGCCCACGACCCCCTCGCCGACTCCGACTCTCGCCCTGGAGGCGGTCCGCATCCAGGGCTGCTCGAGACGAGCCCGGCCGTGGCGACGGGAGCCTCCCGGCAGGGCCTCCCAGCAGAGCGAAGCAGAGGGCAGCCGCGGTCTTGGCGCGGGGGGGGGGGAGGGGACCAGCTCATGGGGGGGGGGGCGAAAGGGGGGATAGCAAAGGGGGGGGGGGAGAATCAGCTCAACTCACGTAGCTGATTTTCCCGGCGCCTCCCGGCGCCGGGAGGCGCCCATGTATCGAGGGATGGGCCCGGCGGCGGGGCCGAAATCAGCTGCATGCAGCAGATTTCGTAACCCCCGCTTTCCCTATCCCCCCCTTTCGTTCGGCCGGAAGCTCGGGGGGGGGGGAAGCGTCGACGACCCTGGCCATCGCTCGGACGTCCATTCCCTGCGCTTTTTTTTGTTTCGGTTCCGTGCGTGGCTTTTTTTCGCAGGAGGATCCAGGATGCTCCTTGAGAGCCCCCGCCGAGGAGAAGTCGGGAGCGGCCAAGAGGGGGGTGTCCAAGAGGGGGGGGGTGCAAATCGTGACCGGCGGCACGTGCGCGGCCCAGCGGGGGGGCCAGGGACGTCATAAAACAAGAAGCGGCGCCACAAGATCTGGGGGAACGTCACTGCCCCCGCCATTGAACATCCCCCCCCCCCCCAGTCATCGCCTCCCCTCTTCGCCGCCCCCGATAAAAGTGCACACGTCCAAGCGATACCAAAAGGACCCGCCATTAAATATCCCCCCCCCTAGTCATCGCCCCCGATAAAAATGCACGCGTCCGAGCGATGCCAAGAGGACCCGGGCGTGGGCGAGGCAGCGTCGGCGGCTCGGCGAGGCGCCCCCGACGGCGAGCCGGGCCCGCTCCTGTAGAGGGGCGGGCTGCCGGGCCCCCGTCATCGGGTCGGGCCTGTCCCCCTACAGGGCAGTTTTTAATACATAGGATGTTTTAAAAAAATATGGGATGTTTAATACATGACTAATGTATGAATAAACTGATGCATGAACTCATCGTTGTTTCTAGTACTAAATCCCTGCATGTTTAACACATGATCCGCACGCGGAGCATGTAGTAAAAAACGGCACTGCACAGGGGGACTTGGGGCGAAGAAAAAATTGCCAGAAATAGTCCACAAATCATCCCCAGACTACCTTTCCCAACTATTCTGGGCGATTCCTCCTGTGGAGGGACAGGCCCGACTTACACATAGTATCAGCATGTCGGGGCGGCGCCCTGCAGGGGGACTTGGGGCAAAAAAAACCTCAAAAACCGTGCAGCAAAAGTGGTCCACAAATCACCCCCGGACTATCTGTTGACCATGTTGGCAGATCCCTCCTGTGGAGGGACGGGCCCGACTTGCACGTGGTGTTCGTATGTCGGGGCGGCGCCGATTGCAAGCTTGCCCCGTGCCCGGCGCGATCGGCTGGCTCGGCAGACGCGCCTGCGGCCGCCGAGCGCGGCCGACAGAGAGCCGCCGTCCTGGGCTCTGCGTCTCGACTTCGGCCTATCTTGGGGCCGCCACCGGGCCGACTTGACCCTTAGCGTTGTGGATACCACGACCACGGACACTCCAACAATCCGATCATTGAATCAAAGATGTGTTTTCAAATGTGTGAAACATGTTCAAAGCATGAAGCAGGTTCAAATCATGTATTTTCTACAGGTGTTAAACCTGTTTGAAACATCTTTTAGACATCTGGGAAGTGTTTGGCAACATGCTTCCTCTCCATTAATCTGGACGCCAGAAATGGGTACGGAAAGGATGGGTACACTGCCCAACACCAAATGTTGTCCCAAACCAACAGCGACCGCTGTTGGCCAGGCGGCCTCCTGTCTCGAATGGACACACACAGGCCGCGGCGGCGAGCACAGCGAGTCCTGGTCAGAATGAACCAGATCCACTCTTGGGCATGGTACCCGTCCTTTCCGTGCCCACTTCGGGCGTCCAGATGGTAGAGATCGTTTCTCGAGCGGCGTGGCCAGGAAGCGCCCGCCACGACGCACAAAACCATGAGACTTCTCGGCGCGCGCGTCGCCCCTGGGGGGGCGACGAACACACAGCAGAAGTACGGCAGGTTCGCGTCGTGTCGACCCCGGCGTTGGTTTCTGACACCGCAGGGATCGTTCAACCTTGAACGATCGGCCATTTCCACAACGTCCAATCGTTCAACATCGACCGATTCTGGGTCGCCGGCGGCGTTCAACCTTGAACGTCGGCGGCGGGGTCGCCGCCGGTCGACACGACGCGAACCTGCCGTATGCTTGGGGGACGCCGGGAGCGGGTCGTGCCAGCGGGGGCGAGGCGCTCCGAGTGCGATGCCGCGCAGCGATCTCCGCGGGCCGCTCGCGGCCGCGGCGCCGCCCCCCACCCCTCCCGCGCCTCGCTCTCTCTCCCTCCGGGCCGCGCCTCGGGCCGCCGGGGCCCGGGGCGCCCCGCCCCCCCCGCGGGGCCGCGGGGGCCCCGCCCCTCGGCGAGGCGAGGGCGTGCTGGCGGAGCGGTTCTGTCCTCCCCCCAGTTCGTATAGTTTCCCATCTTTTGGAGGGGGAATCGAAGACAAATTGTGTCTCTTTGTGTTCTTGTCCCTCCTGAGTGATAAATCGCCCCCCCTACGAGCGAAGCCTTCAGGAAGCGCACCCAGAGAGAGAGGGGAGCGAACGGGGCAGGGATGGCTGCTGAGCAGGGCTGAACCTGAACGGTGTTTTTCGTTGTCGTTTTGCTTTCGTCTTCCCTTCGCTTTGTCTTCAAGTCCGCCTTTTTGCCGCCAAGCGAAGTCGAAACGAAAACACGGCCCACGAGATCGCACAAAACCCCGTTCAGGTCCAGCCCTGCGTGCTGGAGGGCGGCCCGAGGCGGGCGATGCCGGCGGGGATCCGCGAAGGCGCCCCCCCAGAGAACCTCGAACCTCGACCCCCGCCGATCCTCCCCCCCCCCCTCAGAAGCGACACGAGGGGCGAACCGCCCAGGGGAGAGCAATACCTGTACTCCGGTGCGCCGATGACCTGTGCCTTCGAAGAGGCTCTCGGGCGAATACTACGTATAATGCCCGCCCCTGGGCTATTCGCCCCTATCGTCGCCGCCGACACCCCCCGGCGTTGCTCCCGAGATCCCCTCCACGGACACGGACGCCGGCGGGTACACCTCCGACAGCACGGCGGCGATGTCCTCCTCGGGAGGCCGGGTGAGCCTCCGTGGGAGCGAGCCCCGTGGACACCCGCGGCCCTATACCACAAACTGGATTTCGACCGGACTCTGGCAAGACCTGTTCAGGCTTCGACCAAACTTCGTCCAAACACCGGCCAAATCCGACGACGTCTGGACGAACTCACCAAACCCGCAAGGAGTTTCGTAACCCCATGAGGCTCCCATGAACCTAGGCCTCCCCTATGGGGTCGGAGTGGATGGGGTCGGAGGATCGCGCCGCATCGCCGATGCATCGCCGACGCGGCTCGATGTGGGGCCCGACTTGCTTCACGTCGACGTCGCCGCTGCATCGCCGACGTAGACGATGTCGATGGTGCATCACCGATGCATCACCGATGCATCGCCGATGTGTCGGCGATGCGGCGCGATCCTCCGACCCCATCTGCTCGGAACCCACCTAGGTCTATGATGCTCACATCATACGAAGCCAGAACTAATCTCGAGCAACCGCAAAAGGGTCGAAACGGTGTCGAAACGGTGTCGGACGCGTGCCTCCCGGGGCCCGGCACGTGAAAGCCCTCGAGCTTCGGCACAGTCTTGGTGCTCGAAATTCTGTCTGGTGATCGAGGCGAAAGTAGGTCGGAGCATTCGGGGATGGACAGACCTCCCTTTAGTAAAACGTGGTTTGGTGAAAACGACCTCGGGCCCAAACCTGGCGGGCGCAAGCCTGGAAAATGACGGCATACTTGGCGCACGTGGGGCACGTGGCGCATCTGGCGCACCAAACTTGCATGGCCTGCTTGGGCGCCTGTTGCGCGTGGCGTTGGTTTCCAGTAGCTGCCCAATCAAAGACGGCCGCTGAATATGCTAAGACTCGGGTACTACTTATGTGTTGGGGGGGCGGGTGGGAATACCACTTTAAGCTGATCACTGTTCCCTAGATCACTGTTCGTTATTGATTAAACACCCGCCAGCCAGGACCAATGCCAAAACAGACTTTGCGGCAAAATCTTGGGTCACCGCGAGCGCTTTAAATTGTTCTTGGACCGGGGCGGCGGGGTGCCCTCAGATTGCCTGCTTTGCGCAAGGCCTCCATCCCTGCAAAAGAACAATACAACATGCACGTCGCGGCTAAATCTGAATCATGCGCGGCAGCCCCGCGATCTGAGTCCATTGGTGTTTGACAGGGGCCGCCGGGGTCCTGGAATATTCCCTGCTTTGTGCAGGCCCACCAGACACCATGATGGCCTCCCCGCCGCGATTGCGCATTGGTTTTTGACAAGGATGGTGGGGGCCAACATGTTTCCCGATGTGTGCTGTCAGGTGCGCGGGCGCACCTGGCACACTCTGCGCGTGCCCCGGACGTGGCGCACCTGGCAAGGGCCCCTCCCCCTACCTGCTCCCCCTGGGGGAGGACGGACCCATTGGAGCGTCCACGATTGCCTCAGATGGCCCAACGAGGGCACAAAACAACTCAAGATGGCCTCCAAAATAGCCAAACATACTTCAAGATGGCTCCGACATACCACCCAGATGCTCCAAGACAGCCCTAAGACGGGTCTAAGTGCCCTCCGGTACTTCCATTGCACCCACTCAAAAGCCAAAATCTGGTGTATAAAAAAACCTAAGGGAAATCAACGGTTTGGGCTTTCCCGCCTTTTCGCTCCCAATAAGCCTGTGAGGCCGCAAGGTTGCCCCAAGATGGTCCAAGAGAGCTACAAAAGGAGTCCAAGAGGCCCCCAAGACAGCCCAAACAGTGCCAAAGAGCGCTTCAAGAGCGTCCACAGAGGGCCCCAAAAGCACATCGTTCGGACGCCACTGGGGGGGGCGCCAATGAAAGCCTTCCTTTCTTTTCCCAACCATCCCGTGATGTCGGGTCCTCGTTTTGAAGAGACAGCGCCCCGCGTTCTCCTTCCTCCTCCTCCGCCTCCTCCTCCTCCTACTCCTCCTCCTCCTCCTCCCGCTGCCTCCTCCGTCCTCCCACCTCTCACCCCTACCCCTGCCATCCGCTCAAGAAATCCGCCAGGGGCTCTTTTATGCTGCGCAGCCATAGGCCCTCCTTCCACTTCAATTCCGAACCATCCTCCTGCGCCCCGTGTCCCACCTCTGATGGGCCTGTTGTCCACCACCACCACCAGAAATTGGAGGGGGAGGGAGTCCTCCTCCTCCTCCTCCTCCTCCTCCTCCTCCTCCTCCTCCGCCTCCTCCTCCTTCCCCACTCCAGCCTATGGTGGTGGTGGTGGAAAACAGGCCCATCAACCTCCTTCCTCCCGCCTCCACGCTCCTCACATCCATGCCTCGGCCCTCCGTGTGTCAACCGTTGTGGCACCCCCAGGGCGCAGCTCGCGTGTGGGCATCGCCCCCGTTGCGGCACACCCATCACACGCTTCGTGGCACCACAGGGAGCTCCGCCTGAGGCCCCAATGGCACAATTCGCTTGTAGGATTCACCTCCGTTGCGGCACACCCATCACACGCTTCGTGGCCCCACAGAGAGCTTCAGTTGACACCCCAATGGCACAGTTCGCATGTAGGATTCACCTCCGTTGCGGCACACCCATCACACGCTTCGTGGCCCCATGGGGAACACTACTTAGGGCCCCAATGGCACAATTTGCGTGTGGGCGTCACCCCCAATTCGGCACACCCCTCACACGCTTCGTGGCCCTACATGGAGCTTCACCGAACGCCCCTGTGGCTGCGTTCGGATGCGCCCGCCGAACCCATTTCGGCGGCACAAACCTCGCACGCTTCGCGGCCCGATAGGGCGCTCCACCGAAGACGATACTCACAGCTGTGTTACCCACAACTGCATACGGTTGTGCCTTTCACCAGGCTCATTGACTCATGGGTCCCACGACCACCCCGAAGAGCCTCAAAAGGACACCAAGAGGGCCAGAATGGAACAGAGTGAACCTTCGAGCGGATGAGGGTAAATCATGAAGGTTGGATGGAGGTTGGTCGCTTATCGTAAATCCCAGAAACAAGAGGGGGAAATAACAACTTTCTGACCTCGCCCACACGCTGTACCACGAGATTCGCGGACAGTAAGGTTGATGAGAGTAGGAGGGAGGTCTGGACCAAACCTCGTTAATGTCAGCGCTTACTTGGACAGCGGGATGTCAACTGAAGGTTTGTCCCTACCTTTCGCCAGCGCTTGCCAGAACAAGTGCTCTGGTCAGGCAGCGGAGTGTTCACTGAATGTTTGCCCCGAATTTCAGCCAGCGCCTAAGAGAACCAGTGCCTTAGCCAGGCAGCGGAGGGTTCACTGAATGCTTGCCCCGCATTTCCGCCAGTGCTTAGGAGAACCAGCGCTTCGGGTAGGCAGCGGAGTGCTCACTGAATGCTTGCCCCGCGTTTCCGCCGGCGCTTGGGAGAACCAAACAGTCTATACGGCCGCGGCAGAGCATCTATCCGAGGTGTCTGCGCGCCTGCCTGCTCGTCGCAGAGCGTTCGGCCCGCAAGCACGCCGGCGATGTCGGTTGTTGTGGGGGCCCGCGTCGCAAGCGCGAGGAGGAAAAAGGGCCCAATATGGCGCCAAGACTTATCTTGCTCCCGGCGTGCTGAAGGACCACATCCCACAAAGGATTTCGAGCACCCAGAAAAATATCGAAACAGCGTCGAACGAGCATCGCCTCCCAGGGCCCGACACGTGAAAGTCCCCAGTTTCGGCGTCTTCTTGGTGCTCGAAATTCTTGCTGGTGGTCAAGGCTGGAGCAACTTGGAACATTAGAACCCAAAACGGCGCCAAGATGGGTACCAGAGACTTCCAGATAAGCCGCCGACAAGGCTACCAGGGGCTCACGGAGCAACACCTCCGCGTCGACGTGCTGGCTGACTCGTCCTTGCTGCCGTCTTCCGCTCGACTGGGCATCGTATCCCGATGGGCTGCTGGGGATGCGCGAATCGCCAGGGCATTGAAGCACCGAGCACGTTTCGATGTGAAAGAATGCATGCCCGAACCCATGTTTTTTATACTAAGACCTTCCCAAGAGGCCCACAAACTAGCCCCAAGAGGCCCCCAAGAGCGCTCGTCGTCGTCGTCGTCGTCGTCGTCGTCGCCATTCAGGGTCGGCGGCACCGGCCGTAAGGCCTTCGCAATACATGCCCGAACCAATGTGTTTTTTTTTATACACGGTAGGGGATCGAAAAAGCGGGGTGGGCATAATAAAACTGACACGCTTCCAAACGAACGAATAAACGAACATCCGCTTGTACCAAAAACTGGAGGGGACAGGGGGGAGGGGCAGTGGAACGAGGGGGAAAGGGACAAAACATGGGGGACAGGATAACGGGCGGGAGGGGACAATATTGACGTTTGACAAGGACGAGGCCCTGTCAAAACGGCCGCGTGTCCCAACCAGAGAGCGTCATGACCAAGAACAGCGTCTGCATCGACTTGCATATGGAGCCGAACCACAAATTTACCTCGTCAGCCTCGCGGCACTGCACATTCCTTTTTTTCCTCCCCGCCCGTCCGCCTGAATGCGACTAGAACTGCAACCGCGCAACAACGACGACGAATCCTGCGACTGTAATCCCACCAGACCTCTGGGCGCAGGTGGTCTAGAGCAAGTCCTTTTCCAGCCTCCTTCCTTTCCCTGCTCGGGAGGCGTACCTCCCCCCCTCCTCCCTGGGTCTGGACGGCGGAGCCCCGATGTGTCAGATCTTCTCTGTTTTTGCCCAAGGTGGCTCCAAGAGGGCCCGGCCCCAAAGACCCCAAGATGGCCTCCAAGATGGCTCAAGATAGCTCAAGATGGCTCATGATAGCCTCCGACACTCATCCAAGAGACCTCAAGACCGTCCCAAGAAGGTTTCAAGTGCCCTCCGAGCCCTCTGAGTACCCCCCCAAGAGGCCAAATCCCCTCAATCACCTAAGGACAATCACCGTGTTTTGCCTTTTCGCTGTTTTGCCTCTGATGGGTTCTTGGGGCATCAATGTGGCCCCAAGACGGCCCAAGAGAAACCCAAGGGGGGGCCCAAGAGGGCCCCAAGGCGGCCCCAAGAGCGCCCAGGAACGCTCCGAGAGCGGCCCGGGAGGGCCTCAAGACTGCATCGTTGAGCCTCCGAGGGGGCGGTCCGAATTAGAGCCCTCCTTTTCTAAACAACGGGGGCCAGGACGGCCCCAAGAGGCCTCGTAGACCCCCCCAAAGAGCTCCAACAGGGCCCCACAGACCCTGCAATGGCCCTGCGAAGACCCAGCAAAATCACCCTGCAAAGACCCAGCAGTGACCCTGCATATCCAACCTCCTTCCTCCCCTAGTTGGGAGGTGTACCTCCCCCGCTACCCTGGGCGTGACTCATAGCAGCGTCCAAGATGGTCCTACACGGCTCCAAGAGGGCCCTAGAGAGCCAAAGATGGCAACCTCCTTTTCCTCCTCCTCGAACTATGCTCTTACTTGTCCTCCTGCTCCTGCTCCTGCTTCTCCTCCTCCTCCTCCTCCTCTTCCTCCTCCTCCTTTTCCATTTCCTCTTCCCCCTCCTCCTCCTCCTCCTCCCCTCCTGCTCCTCCTCCTGCTCCTCATCCTCCGCCTCTTTCTCCTCCTACCCCCAAGATGGTCCCAGCAGCAGCACCACCACCACCAGCAGGAGCACCACAAGCAGCAGCACCAGCAGCAGCAGCAGCAGCACGAGCAACAGCATCAACAGCAGCAGCACCAACAACATCAGCAGCAGCACCGGCAGCAACACCAGCATCTAAGAAATGTCGAAACGCACGCGAGGTTAAGATACAAACCAGTGCAAGGGCTAAGATCAAGGATGCCCATCGAGATGAAATGCCAATCTGCGCAACATTGGCGTCGGATCCTAGACACAGCAACCTGCGCCAGAGACGCTCATCACAAGGAACACAATGGCGCATCTTGCGCTGAGTTTTGTCTTAATCCGCTCTGCGCAAACCTATTTGTGGTTTTTGTTTTCTGGCCCAGGGTACTGCGAGCCCAGTTTTGACGTTTCCAAAACGGCTGTGCGACCGCATGCTACCAGCCATCCCTGATTAACCGACTCACCTGGTAATCGTGTCTAAATGGGCTGCTAAAGATTTTTGGGTCAGCGGCTCCAAGGCAACGGACAGGGAGCGGAAGCGGCGTCCGGATCACGGTACGGGGCTAATTAGCTACAACAGGCACAGGCCGGCCGGCCCGCTCACAAAGCAGCCGCGAAGCTGAAGAGAGGCAGACAGTGCAAGTGACCTGATCCTGGAGCTCTTGCACGTGCACAGACAAAATGCCATAGAATTCGGTGCCTGCCACAGACGTGAACCGCGAAACCAAGCCCGTCGCGAGACGAGAACCAGGATGACCAAGTCCGTCAAAGCGTGGGGTGCTGTACCAGCTGCGGAAGGCTGAACCACTCCATGGCGACACCAACACCCGAAAGACCACCCCACAGGGCACGGGGGACCCAAGCGACTGTGGGCCACGCAGCGCGTGCAGGCACAGGGTCAGGCCTCAGTGAGGGGGGGAGGACCACCTGGCGCGGTGAGCATCGCCAGCGGGGGGGGTTAGGGGGGGGCTGCACCGGGGTAGTGCTGCCATCTGCGGTGGCGAAGCGCCAGGGGGAGCTTCACTGTGGAGGACACGGGGGCCAGGAGGCAAGCCTGGCCCAGTCCGCCGCTTGGCACTGCCCCCCAGACCCGTGAGCCTACGCACACCACGTGGTCCCCCAGGGCCGACGCAAACGACGCTGAGAGTGATGAACCAGATCACGAGCAACGCAGAACACGGGCGGCCCTGGGAGGGGGGGGCAACCACACCGACGTCAGCAGTACGTCAGGCAGGCCCCGAGGCCAAGGGCGGGGGACACCCGCCTGGCCCGAGAGGGGAGAGACAAGGGGAAGCACCGCCTCTCCCCTCGGCCTGGCCCCGAATCCGAGGGCAAGGGGCCATGGTCATCTCTTGGATCGTTCTCGGGGGTCGCAGCTAATCGCCGCTATGATATCCCTTTAATCTCCTCGGGGGTCGCAGCTAATCGCCGCTGAGATCTCTCTTTAACCACCTCGGGGGTCGCAGCTAATCGCCGCTATGATCTGAATTTGTTGGTTGGTGTGCCCGATTGTTGGTTCCTTTCATTTACTCGGGGGTCGCAGCTAATCGCCACTGATCACTATTGATGGTAGGTGTGTCCGGTTGTTGGTCCTCCAGGGACGCAGCAAACCGCAGCTGATGTGAAACGGCAGAGTGACAGAACAGTGGGGGTGGTTGGTCCTCGGGGGTCGCAGCTAATCGCCGTTTGAGCCCTTATTGACGGGGGGGTGCCCAAGAAAGGCCGCAGAGGCATGCCGCCGACTCCAATGCAAGAGCAGTGTACACTGCCACTTCCAGCCACCGCCTCATGCGTTGCGACACACGCAGGGCCCCCAAGGAGAGAGGCGGGGGGAAGGCCGCGCCCCCCGTCGGTCAGGCCCCCGCACTCGTGGGATAGGTGGCGCACCCGCCGAGCTAAGACAGAGCCTGCTGCCATTGACCGTTCTTCACGCACACTCAGACCCCACTGCTGTAACAGGTCACGCAGGGCCCCGATGCAGCCTGCTGCTTTTGCCGGGCAGCGACAGGGCCTGCTGTCAGTGTCCACCCCTCTCGCACCTTATCCCGGCGCTGCAACTGAAGACAGCGGGTTCCAACTTAGCTTCCCACATCCCGGTAATAGCGCCGGAGCATGTGGATCTCAATGTATTGGATGATGTCTCCGTCTCCGTTGTACCGACAGCACCGGGATGCAAGAGTACCCTGAGTCCCAGAGGGCGGACACGGGCCCGAACGGCAGACACCCCAGGGAAGGCAGCAGCGGGATGCAAGAGCCCCTAGAGAATCCGCGGGACACACTTGTCGCCGACGGTGCGAGATATGTGGCAGGAATGGGACGCGGCGCACATCGCGCGCGGACGTCCATGCGGGCCGCGGGCCCTCCCATCCTGGCTGTAAAAAAAATCACAATGCAGAGTTGCCGTTTTTCCTTTCATCATGGCCTGTCCTGTCGTCGACGATGCGAAATGCGTGGCAGGAATGGGGCGCGGCGCACATCGCGCGCGGACTTCTGGGGCAGCCCCAAGGCGGGAGGGGCCACCTTTCTTGTCAGAAACAATGCCATGCTGATTTTCCCTGCCCACATAGCTGTTCTTGTCGCCCACCCCGCAAAAGTGCATGGCAAGAATTGGGCGCGGCCCCCCCCCCCTGCTCGAAGTAAATGAAATGACCTTCCCGCTTGGGCGCCGAGCGAAATTTTCTCAAAGTTGCGCTCCCGCTTTGGCTCGGCGCACGTTTTTAGCTCGCCACTTCATTGGGCGCCGGGGCGTTCCAGGAGGCCTGGGGTGACGAATGCCTGGGAGGTTTTTGCTTGTCCAGGCTCTTGGAGGGCCTCCTGAGGCTCCCCGCGGTTTCTTGGCGGCGTCTGCGGCCGTCTGGAGGCCGTCTTGGGCGTCTTGGAACGATCTTTCGGCGACTCAAGGCCCCTCGGATCGTCTCGGGGGCGTCTCGGCTCTCTTGGGGCGTTCCTGGGGCGCTCTGGGACCTGGAAGTCAGCGCTCTGGGACCTGCGACACTGAAATGCCCGCGCAGCCCCCAGTTGTGCCATCACTGTTTCTTATGTTGTGGGAGGGCGGGTGGGAATGGGCATGCCATGCTTGACTCGCTCGAGCTGGCTAGCTTGACACCCACCCCCACCCCTACCCCCCACATAACTCAAAGATGCTGCTTCATGCCAAATGAAAATGAGCAAACCACGGCAATTAATAGAATGAGGGTGTTGGGACGGAGAACAAACAAGGTATCCCAAACAGCGTGAAGGGGGATAGGATGACCGCCCTTTTCATTAGACCCCTGTTGAAGGCAAAAAATGCTTAAACTTTCTGTGGGGGCGAGACGGGCGCAATACTTACGCATTTAACTCTCAGAGCAACCAACAAGAGACTTCAATTGCTGTGGAAAGTTTTGACGAGCCCATTCCGATTGAACCCCCATTGAACACAAACCCGATATTTCAAGAATTCTGTGAGGGAGGGGCGGGATGGCCGTCTTTTCTATTGAATCCTCATTGGAAGCACATTGAATGTCAATATAAATGAGGCCCATCGCATCCTCCCCCTTCCAAACCATTTTAAAATAGTCCAAAGATGTCTCCCTCCAACTAAGCACTAAAAATGGCTATAAGAAGGGTTGTGGGATGACCTACCCTTCCTGGACCCTGACTGGAGAATAATTTAATTTGAGAAATCGGAGGGCTGGATGGGATGGCCACCCTCCCAAAGGAACTCCGATTGAAAACAAACAGAATGCTTGAACTGCCTGCGGGAACGGAATGAGCGCCATTTGCATTGTTTTCCCTGTGAAGCATACAGCACACTTCAATTGGTTTATGTTCGCATGGGACGGCACCCCTTCATACTGAACCCCAATTGAAATCGAACCCCATATTTGAAGATTTCGGTTGGGGGTGACGAAATGGCCGCCCTCCATTGAGTCCTTACTGGAAGCACGCAACTGTTCAAATGATGTGGGGGGATGGAACGGGTCCAAGCAAGCACGAACCACCAAGGCGCGTAGATTATTGAGCCTAAACGGCTACGGAAATAAGAAGATGACCCTCCCAACACCAACAGGGGCACCAGTAAGACCGCTGGGCGCTGCGATCCACACCACGAGGTGCAGGTGCAACGACGACTACCACTGCACCTTCTAATGCAAGTACGTTCACAATCGCTATGGCAACCACTACTTCTACGAGCTCTGCAGCAACGAATGCTGACAAGAGAGGCGAACGCAACCCCATACGAAAACGACCACGACTGCTCTCCTTCCCCTACTTCTACAAACCACAACTGATGCTACGATTACGACTGCACTTCTGCCGTCACTGCCACCACCTCGATCACCACTAGTAAATACTCCTCCTGGCCACCATGCCCCTTCCACTCTCTTCCTGCCCCCCCCCCTCATGGCGCCAAAGCGCCAGACAGAAGCGGCGATAATGATCCCCTTGCCAATGTCAAAAAGAGCACTGCGCGAGCTCTTCGGAGTGGGCGTCTCATGATCATGGGCGATCTACTTGCACGTCCCTCGCTTCTGTCGCTTCGGTAATTAGTGGAGTGGACATAATGTAGCGGGATACATAATGTCAACGCACTGATCAACGCACTGATAACTCCAATTATCCCACAAAACAAACATCGTCTGCAACCAGCACATGCAAGCCGCCTTGGCCTCCCACATGGCAGCGTTCTGCCTGGCTGAGGAGCGCATGCAGCGACAGACCAGCAAAGCCAAGGCCACCGACGGAGCTACAGTGCAACAGCAGCCTTCGCGTGCAAATTCACGACCGTGCCCCATCGAGAGCAAAGGAAACCCTAACCTTATGTTGCTCCCATCGTACTTCAGGACCACATCCCAGAAATAATTCCGAGCGCCTAGAAATGTGTCGTCACGGTGCCGAACGAGCATCGCCTCCCGGGGACGGACAGATGAAAACCATCCAATTTCGCGCTTTCCTGAAATTCTTTCTGGTGGTCAAGGCTAAAGTAGGTTGGAACATCATACAGGGCAGTTTGTTATACATTGGATTCTGAAATATATAGGATGTTTAATGCATGATTGTTTTTATTAATAACTTTATGCATGAACTCATCGTTGTGCATATTTTTCGTACTGAACCCCTGCATGTTTACTACATGATCCGCACGCGGAGCATTATTAAAAACGGCACGGTGACCCCAACCCGCACAACACGACGAGGACGTGGCCTCCCCGAGGCCCCCACCGCCGCATCTGGGGACCACGACTCCGGGCGGCGCGCCTCGGCGCGTCTGCTGGAAAAGCCTCCCCGTCCCCGGTGTTCCTGGCCCTCCCGGCAGCGGTCCCCTGCCAAAGGGACCCTCATTCTCCGTCACCCGTCATTGCCACGGTGGGCCAATACCCTACCGTCGGAAGCTGATAGATCAGAAACTGGAATGATTCATCGCCGGCGAAGCTATGCGATTCGTTCGGTCATGATGAATCACCAGAAAGGACCAGGCGGAGCCTGGGCTGGTTGCTGGCCCCCCAGAAGACATGTCTTTTGGGGGACCAAACCATATTCACCACCACCACCTCCTCCCTGCCCCCCTCCCCCTCGCTGGACAGAGGATTAGAGGAGGAATCGACGTGGTGGTGGTGTACATGCTTTGGGCCCCCATCTTTGGTGAGTCGGTGCCCCCCCTGGCAGGCCGAGGAGTGGTCGACGGACGAGTGCAGTCTGGGCCAGCCGTCCTGCTGATAACACGGACCACGGGCAGCAGAACGAGCGAAAGGGGCCCCCCTTTCTGGCCACGGCGGGCGCGCCCGCGCACGAGGCCGCCGACCCAACTCGAAGAGGAAAGGCCAGACACTCGGAGCCCGTGCTGAGCCCAAGGCGATTCTCATGCCAGCGTCTTGAGATGGGACGCGCAGAGGCATCATCCCAATACCACATGTCCTCCTTGGAAGCGCGCGTCCGACCCGAACATCTAGTGTACGGCAAGTTCATGTCGTGCCGACTTCGGCGTTGGTTCCTGACACCGCGGAGATCGTTCAACCTTGAACGATCGGCAGCTTCCGAAACGTCCGAATCGTTCCACATCGAACGATTATGGGTCCCCCGCGGCGTTCAAAGTTGAACGCCGGCGGCGGGGTCGTCGCTGGTCGACACGACGCAAACCTACTGTACCCACCTTGCAGTGGATCGGTTCCCGAGCGGTGTGGCCAGTAGGTCCAGCGTCTTGACAGCAGGGCTTCGGTTCCTCGCACACTATCGCGTGCATCGGCCCTCCCTCCCGAGGCCCCCTGGGCACCCCAACGCCTCCCTGATGCTTTCCGAAATGCGTTCCATGGCTTGCTGAACGGCCCCAGGACGTCACAGAGCCGGCGAGGCATTCGGCAGTTTCCAGGAGGCGCCCAGTCAGTCCCAAGAGGACTCCAAGAGGCTTCAAGACACCTTCACGACGCTCTCCAGGAGGGCAACCAGCCCTCTGAGTGTAGGTGGTCTAGCGATGCCTTCCTGACATCTTCCAAAACGCTTTTCCCTCCGGGGAGGGGCCCCCTCCCCCTCCCCTCCCCGAGGTTTCTGGAGGTGGGCCGCGAGCGGTCAGGGCGCCCAAGATGGCCCAAGACGGCTTCAGGAGGGCCTCCGGTGCTCCAGGCTGGCCTCCAAGGCAGCTCAAGATGGCCGGAGATGATTCGAGCGAGGTAGCGTCCGACATGCCTCGAAGAAGCCCGGCTGAGGCCACGAGACGGATCCGGGTGCTCTCGTAACCCCTGGAAACCCGTGAGAGATCCATGCGTTGTGCCTTCTCGCCTGCTGGCTTCCGATGCGCTTCTGAGGCCTCAAGATGAGCCCGAGATGGCCCAAGAGAGGCCCAGGAAGGACCCAAGAGGGGCCCAAGAGATAGCTGGGCCCCCCGTCGCACCGAGCCCAAGGTGCCTTCGTGCTTGCGGCCCCGTCCCGGCGTGTGTGGCCTCCCGGGCAGAACGTGTGACAACATACGAAGTCGGGGGAGGGACGTTCAGTGGATTAGTCCCCCCCTGCGCCCGCCCGTCCATACGAAGTCGGGGTCGGATAAATGATACTGAGCTGTGCCGTTGTTCTCTTGTGCGATGGCAGCAAGAAGCAGACACGGAGAAGAGAGCCGGCGGCGAGCCCCAGGGGGGGGCAGCGAGAGGGGACGGGCCCCCTCAGGAAGGCGGCGCGGGTGCTCGGGCAACCTCGCGCCTTCGGAGAGACCCGCCTGAGGCTTCGGAGAAGGCCTGCAATGCTCCTCCCCTCCTCCGCCTCCGCCTCCGCCTCTCCCTCCGCCTCCGCCTCCTCCTCCTCCTCCTCCTCCTCTTCCTCCTCCTCCTCCTCCTCCTCCCTCCTCCTCCTCCTCCTCCTCCTCCTCATCCTCCTCATCCTCCTCCTCAAAGGCGCGAAGGTTTCCGAGAGGCCGCCCGCCCTCTGAGGGGGATGCCCCCTCTCGCTTCCCTCCTGGGTTCGCCGCGGAGAGGAAGCAGACAAAGAGAAGGTGGTACAGTCAACCCTATAGTAAGGATGCGCGACGAGGATGCAAGGGCCTTGGAAACTCATTTCGAAGTTTTCCGAGCGGGGCGAGGTCAGCCAAAGTGGCCAAGGATGGACCGAGGAGGCAAGGATGCAAGGGTACCCTTGGGAAGGTTGCCCGTCCTTACTATGCGGGTTGACTGTAGGAGGCAGCAACTGGGAGGTCTTCTTCAGAACGATTGAGAATGGTTGATCCCGGTCCTCCGGGCCAGACCGGGCCAGATTTAAGCCCAATGCTGAGGCGGATTAGGCAGGATTGAACCAGAGGCGGGATTCAGCCAGATTGGGCCCGTTTTCGACCAGGGGCATACATACCGGAGCCGAATCTGAAGTGAACCTCCCGGGAATGGAATCCCAAAAGAGAGTTCGTCTGGCAAGGGGGCCACCCGACAAACACGGTCAGCAGGATCGCCAGCACCTCGGCGCATCCCTCCTCGCCCTCCACGACCGCGCGCAGGAAGCCGGACAGCGGGGCCGAAGACGGACGACCGACGGAGGACGGCGGCGGACGACGGTGGACGGCGACCGACGAACGACGACGGAGGGAGATGCCGACGACGGACAGCTCACGACGACGGCCGACAGACGCCAACGGCCGACAGACGACGACGCACGAAGGACGACGACGGACAACGGACGACGACGGGCGATAGACGACGCACAACTGACGACGACGCCAAGGACGGACAAACGACGACGGACGACGGACGACGACGGGCGACAGACCACGACGAGGGTGGACGGACGGAAGAAGGACGACGGACGACGGCCTGCGTCGGCATGCCTCCTTTGGTAGTCCCCAGACGTGGTGGTGACAACACCTGGCGGTGAGTCTCAGGCGAGTTGGTGCCACCACCTGCTTTGGAGACGTGCGGTTCTTCGATGATGCCCCGGATGCTGGTGGGTCCAGGGTCCAGGAGCCACAAAACCCGGCGGTGGCCCTCGTGTCCCAAAACCCAGCGGAGGAGAAGGAGAGGGAGGAGGAGGAGGAGGAGGTGAGAAAGCGCACATTGAGCGTCGAGTTGCGTCGGTCAGCGTCGATTCGCCCCCATGAGTTGCCACAGAGGGCGGGGGTCCAGGAGGGGGCAGGACGAGGGATCGGGACGAGACTAGATCGCTCCACCGGCCGCATGCCCGCGGAGCGTTCCGAAACCCTTCTGGAAGCGGCCACGGCGCCTACCGAAGGCTCGGGTCAGTCCCAGGGGGATCCCAGGTCACAACCTGATATATCACAGCCTGGTTCGGGGGCTCCCGGCTCCTTCCGCCGGCGGCGGGCGCGAGGGGGGACGCCCGGGAGTGCACCGCAGGGAGGCCCCCCGTGCGGGGAGGCCCCGACGATGCACCCACCAAGGAGGGGGCGTGCAGAGCGGGGGGGGCCTCCGAGAGAGAGGAGGGGGGCGCACATCGTGGCCCAAGGCACTTGCGCGGACTGGGAGGAGGAGGAGGAGGAGGAGGAGGAGGAGGAGGAGGAGGAGGAGGAGGAGGAGGAGGAGGAGGAGGGGGAGGAAGAGGAGGAAGAGGAGGAGGAGAAGAGGAGGAGGGGGAGGAAAAGGAGGAGGAGGAGGAGGAGGGGGAGGAGGAGGGGGAGGAGGAGATGAGGAGGAGGAGGAGGAGGAGGAGGAGGAGGAGGAGGAGGAGGAGGAGAGGAGGAGGAGGGGGCGCGCTGAAAGAAGAAGAAGAAGAAGAAGAGGAATAATAATAAGAAGAGGAAGAGAGGGCAATGGGAGCCACGGGGAGTTCGCGGCCCGGGCCCTGGTTTCCACCAACGGCCCCGACCCGCGCCCCCGACCCACGCCCATCCTGGCCAGGCCAGCCCTGGGACCAGGATCGGCGCACCAAGAGTAGACACAGAGGAGCCCCTGCCAGCAAGTGGCCGCCGCAGCCCACCGCTGGCCGCCGAGTGCACCCGAGTGTCTTACTGAAGGCCGCCGAGGGCCGCCGAAGGCGGCCGGTGGCCGCCGGAGGGGAGGCCGCCGATGGCCGCCCGACCTCTGGGCATGCGCTCACCCGACCGACTCGGGACTTCTCCAGGATGGACAGACCCCCCTTTAGTAAAACGTGGTTTAGTGAAAACGACCTGAGACCCAAACCTGGCGGGCGCAAGCCTGGAAAATAACGGCCGCGGCGCCCTCTCTAGAACCGAAAACGGACAATTCACTAATCGACGTGTCACTGTTGGGGGTTCTGTCCACCCCCGAATGACGACGATGGCGACGTGTAGGATTCGAAGCAGCCTGCGCGGGCGGCTGGAACTCCAGTCTGAAACACTGAGCGAGTGCTTCGGGCGGTCTCCTTATTTCGGCGGGCAGGCTCGTCTGCGTTCCAAGCAGGTTGCGAGGTGCCAGGGTAAGGCGTCCAGGGTGCTGGAGCGTTATACTTTCGCCGGAGAGCGGGGGGGGTTTCTTGATTGCCTCTCCGGGTTCAAAATCCCCTTAATGAAAACGGCCTAGGACCGAAACCGACGGACCTTGGCCCGGAAAAATGACGGCAGCGACGCCCTCTTGCGAACCGAAAACGGCCAATTCCTTAATCGACGTGTCAGGGCAGGAGGTCCATCAACCTCCGATCCAAACCCAGACATCCAGCGATGTGAGATTGCCCATCCGCGGGCGCCAGTCGTCGGGTGCGCCCCAGCCAAGAGGGGGGCGCCAAGGAGAGGGGGCTCACAGGTATGGCCCGAGGCACATGCGCGGACCAAAAGACGTGTTGAAATGAGAGAGGGGCCATGCAATCCGGGCCTGGCCAGCATACCCAACCCCTGGTTTTACGCCACTGGAAGCCGCCACCAGTTTAAAGTGACAAACAGTGAATAGATCACGAAGTCAGCGAGAAAGTGCGAATTCTTCCATGCTCGGCCCGAAATCGAGGTCCCGACCCCTTCCCAGGGGCCAACTTTTCGCCCCGGATCCACTTCGGATGGCCCTGGGGCCCGAAAACGATCCCCGGAGGCACAAACCGAAGGAACAGTGTTTGGGATCAAGAAGAGCATGCCGTCGGAGGCCTGGGAAGGCCCTCCCTCTAACGTCCAGGGCGCCCCCATGGCGGCAGCCCCTGGGCCCGAAGGCGATCCCCATGGAGAGCCAAGCCGAAGGAACAGCTCCGGGGTCAAGAGAAGCACGCCGTCGGAGGTCTGCCGCGTTGAGATCGTCAGCGTGCATGATGTCAAGAAAATATAAGCCTCGAAGGGCAGTGCTCGCACCGTGAAAATAGACGCTCCAAAGCGGCGGGCCCCAGACTGCGCCTCGAAACACCATGGTCCAAAACCCGGTTGCCGCCTTCGAAGGAGTGGAAACAAAACAAGACTAGCCACAGCAGTGCGTCGGGAGAGCCCTCCCCCCGGCGTCCAGGGCGCCCCCGTGGCGGCACCGGGCCGGCGGCCGCCCGTCGGCCGCGCACGTAGGGCCCGCGCGAAGTTCAGGATGAGGACGACCGCGCTGATCCTCTCACGCCGGGGCGGTGGGGTCACGATCGGAGGCCTGGAGATGGGCACCAACACCGGCACAATCGGGGATGGACAGACCTCCCTTCAACAAAACGCGGTTTAGTCATGATTTTGGACGCCCGAAATGGGTACGGAAAAAATGGGTACAATGCCCGACAACAAATGTTGTCCCAAACCAACAGCGGCCGCTGTTGGGCAGGCGGCCTTCTGTCTCGAATGGACACGGGCCGCGGCGGCGCGGACAGCGAATCCTGTTCAAAATGAACAGGAGCTGCTGTTGGGCATCGTACCCATTCTTTCCGTGCCCATCTCGGGCGTCCAGAATGATTGGAGGCCTGGAAATGGGCACCAACACCGACACAAGGGGTTGCCTCCACAGGGGAAGGAGAAGATCCTAGGCGTCGGTGCTGGCGGTACTGTTTCGGTCACCTTGGGAGCCAGAGCCTTCACGCCATCACCGAGAGGTTGGGATCTTCGTCCCTCGGCGGATGCACAACGCCGAAGTTGGTGTTGGTAACAACCTCTAGGCCTGCGACATTAGAGGAGAGGGAGGGAGGAGGGAAGAGGAGAAGAAGGGGGCGAGGGAGGAGGAGGTGGGAGAGGAGAGAGGAGGCGGTGGAGGCGTGGCGCGGTGGGGCGCGGGCACGAGCGGCGCCACCGAGCCCCGTGGTCTGGATGGCTGGCCTCACCGCAGTCGGGCCGCTGACATGAGGAACGTTGAACAGGCCCTTCTTCTGGCGCCAGCAGCGCCGGCGTGGGCGAGGATAGCTAGAGGAAGAGCCACGGCAGGACCTGGGGAATATCGAGCCCCTTCGGAGCCCAAAGTGTTCCTCTATTTCGGCCTCTTGACTGCACCCCAGTGAGGCACGACACCACAAGCGGCGCGTGTGAGATAATGGACGAGGCGAGGAGAGAGAGAGAGAGAGAGGAGAGAGAGAGAGAGAGAGTGAGAGGGAGAGATAGAGAGGGAGGAGGGAGAGAGAGAGAAAGAGAGAAAGAGAGAAAGAGAGAGAAGAAGAGAGAGATAGAGGAGAGAGAGAGAGAGAGAGAGAAAAAAAAAAAAAAAAAAAAAAAAAGAGAGAGAGAGAGACAGAGAGAGAGAGAGGAGAGAGAGAGAGAGAGAAAAAGAGAGAGAGAGAGAGGAGAGAGAGATGATGGACGAGGAGAGAGAGAGAGAGAGAGAGAAGAGGAAGAGAGAGAGGGAGAGACGGACAGAGAGCGCGGAAGGCGGCAACCCCACGGTGCCGCGCGCCGCACCTCGGCGGCGCGGCGAGCGCCAGGCGGGCTGCTCGTCGTTTCGCGGTGCCCTCCCTGCTCGCGGTGCGCGCGCCGGGCGAGGGGGAAAGAGGAGGGGAGGTAAAACAGGGCTAGGATCGGGATAAATCGCTCCAGAGCGTTCCGGAGCGCTCCGGAACGCTCTGGAGCGGCCGCGGCGCCCAGTACATCCTCCAAACCCGCCGATTCTCAGAGATTTCGAGTTATCCCGATCCGATTTTGTCCCGATCTTCGCGCCGTTTTAGGAGGGAGGGGGGGGGGGGCAGAAAGGAAAAGAACCGAGAAGAAGCCCTGTTCCGGTCGCTTCGCCCAGTCCCGAGAGCTGGTGGGCGCACAGAGGGGAAACTCGGGAGCAAGCTTCGCCTCACACCCACGCGCTCAGGGGCCGAGGCCGGGACGGATCAGGCCCACACTGCTGCAGTCAGGGGGGCAGGAAGGTGTTTCGGCGGTGGACAAACCTCCCTTTTTAGTAAACCTCCCCTCAGCGAAAACGGCCCAAGACCGAAACCGACGGACCTGGACCCGCAAAAATGACGGCCGCAACGCCCTCTCGCGAACCGAAAACGGCCACCTCCTTAGTCGACGTGTCAGGGCAGGAGGTCCATCCGCCTCCCAGTTCTGAGGAAGGGTTCCTCATCTCCCTCCAGCTCTGGACAGAAGGCAACAAGATTCGGAACCTTCGCGGGCGCAGTGGGTCGCTCGCACCGTTCGGACTCTGCGGGCCCGCAGCAGGTCACACACCCCACGTGCGAAAAACGCACAGCGCAGCCACCCGCGGGCAGCCAAGTGCGCGCATGCGAGTTGAACCAGAAATGCACGCAGTGCGTTCGACGACAGACTTCCTGTCTGCACGGGCGGTGAGAGATGGCACTAGAAATGAGCGGCCACCTCTGCGCTTCAACGAAATGCCCGTGAATCCGTGCCACTGGCACTCACAAGCGGGCGCGAACCGTCCAAGTTGCAAGTACAGACGAAGCCAACCTTGCCAACATTACACAGATTAGCCCTTGCAAGCGCGTGGCGGATATCCGATACGCGGGGAACGGGCTCGACTTGCCCAACGACAACCACCACAGCGCACGGCCGTGGGATCGTTCCACCGATGCGCGGTGGTGCTTTGCTGAGAAATTCGTGCTAGTCGGCGCAAGTGCTCGTGAGACGGTGAAACACGGCCTTCCCGACGGCCCCTTGCTCCGCTCGCCCTGCAAAATCGGTATTCGGTCCCCTTGCCGGCGCGGGCGAGCGAGCCGTTGCGCCGAGCAGGCGTTCGCGTTGATCTGACAAGCTCGCCTTCTTTCTGGGAGCCACTTAGACGCGCAAGCACGTACATCTTCACGTTGACGATAAGTGCGATGATCCAGGCGCTGAAATCGCTGCGGCGTGGTCCTTTCCTCTTCTGCCTGGAGGGAACGAGGGGAAGAGAGAGGGTGCTGTCGCGTAGACACTTCCAGCGGGAGCTGGCCGCTTTGCGTCAGTGCGTGCCTGCGCGCGCAAAGCGGGGCATCCCGCCCATCATGCAACCACGTGGACGGGCTGGTCGCAAGACGACGGCGCACGCGCCGAAAACTGTCACGCGCCATTCGCGGCAGCGCGGAGGATGGCAACCACCACGGGTCGCGCAACACGCGGCGCGACGTGCCGTTGCGACTGCACCCTTGCGCACGGCCATGGAGAGCCGTAAGCGCTGCGTGTTGGGACGGCATGCCAGGCACACGCGCCAAAACGGTCCTACTGAGCAGTCCTAGCGACTACCACTTAGGTGTGGCCAACGCACGTCGACGTCCTCCTTGCCGCGGTACGTGAACACGTCCTCCTTGCCGCGGTACGTGAACGTGAGCAGGGCGGAAATGAACCTGCGCGGGCTGCAGCCCCAGCGTGGTCTTTGTGGCCGCGGCTTACAGTGTGGCGGCGTGGAAGATGATGCCATCGACAAAACACAAGCTAAATATGACGGCGTTGCCGCGGCGCCCTGCTGCCAGTCGATCCAGAGCTTGCTGCAGTAGCGGGCGCGGGCGCAGCGATGCGGGAGCGGCGTAGGCCTGGCACGGGAAGTAGCGTGGCCCAAGGACTGATGCATTCTGTCTGTCAGTACAGTGCGGGCGCGGCCGCAAGAAACCCTCGCAAAAAAACAACCCTGAGAACCCGCACGCGAGGTGCACCTGAGGGGAAGCCAGAAGCACCCTGAACGCAGCAGCTCCTTCAACGGCCGCGGGAAGTCACCGCGCAGCGAGAGGAGCGACGAAACCCAGGATACCCTGACGAAAAGCATGTGGCTTCTTGCTGCGCGCCCCCACTGCAGGGCGCATCTGGACACACACGCTGCGCATGTGCAAGGGCGCCACTGGGCACAAGCATTAAGTCAGGCCTGTCCCCCTACAGAGGGATTTTCGACGAAAAACAAAAGATACCCCAAAAATACTCCAAAAATGGTCCAAAAATAGTCTGGGGACTATTTTGGAGTATTTCTTTACCTTTTTGGGGTATGTTTGGGGTACTTGTTATTTGTCGTCGAAAATCCCCGTGTAGGGGGACAGGCCCGACCTCACACAAGCGGCGCCTCCACCGCGCGTCGCACGGCGCGCGGGGGCGCCACGGCAGCGCGTGCTGCGCACGCGCCCCTGCGTCGCCAGGCATGACAGCGCTGCCCCGGCGCGCGCTGCCCCGGCGCGCGGGCCCTGCACTTTCGCGGGGCCTGCGCCGCCGTGCACGGGCGGTGCGCAGGCGTGCGCCCCACAGGGCGGAACCTAAACGGTGTGTGTGTGTGTGTGTTTCGTCTTCGTTTTGATGTCGTTTGCCCTCGTTTCGTCTTCCATCCACCTCTATCGCAGAGCGGAGTCGAAGCGAAGACGGCCGAGGAGCTCGCCAGAACACCGTCTCAGGACCAGCCCTGGCTCCCCGCAGGCGTGCCCGGAGCGGCAGGACAGCCGACAGCTGCCTGTGTGAGGACCATCGCGCACACGTCTCTGGCCAACGTGAAGGGGAACTCGGACACACAAATAAATACACACAAATAACCGGATTCCCTATATTTCCCCATATTTTCCGGGTTTCTGTCTTCCCCCCCACTTCCCATATTTTCCTATATTTTCTTGGGAATCGACGATTCAGAGGGTACACAGGCTGCCGTGCCCACGCGTCTAGACCGAGAGCGCAGAGAAAGGCATAAACATAGTCTTGCGGCCCGGGGCACGACACAGACGTTTCAGAATCTCCGAGGCCGCGCACTCCGTGCATGGTGCGTCCGAACACTAGGGCATGCATTCGAGCATGGGTGAACAGGTTTGGTGGTCAAACGCATGGCACAGCTAAACCGAGATCGCCCGCCAAACGCACTCAGCACTGCCACGTCGTTGAGTGGGTGAGTGGGCAGCGTGCGTGCAGTAGTGGCTGACATATTGCAGTGGCCAGGGGGCCCGCAATTTGGCATGTTCGCGGGGCAACTTCCCTGCTCCTTGGGCGAGGCCTTTGACAGGGCGTCCGGGCAGCACGCGGAACGACAGCAGTAGGTGCCAGCGGCTAGCCTGAAGGCCTCATTGTGAAAGACGGTGGCCCGTGAGACTCTGCCATGCAAGTGATAATGGAGGTGCCACCGAAGTCCGACTCGAAGAAACACCAAAAGAGATACGACAGTTCGCAGGTGCCGAACAAGCTGGCGTTGAAGATGGGGAGTGACCAAGTGAGCAACGAGCGTGGCGCAGCCAGCGCGGAGGATGCAGCAAGACGTGGTGACTGCAGCACTCGCCCGATGCTCGTTTGACCGGCTGCGGTCCACAACTGGGGCACCAACATGCATTGGCGGAGGAAGGTTTTCGATTACGTGCTACCCATAGCGCCAAAACGGTACACCTCCTCATAAAAGTTCCACCACGATCACATCTACACAAGCGACTTAGGGACGAACACCAGCTTGGTGCCCGAAGGAGCTGTGTGTGTGCTTGTGCTTTTGGCGCAGGCCCAGGGTCGCGAAACGAGTACAATGTCGATGCGCACGTCGCTCGGCATGCGCAGTGTGCTCAGTAAGATGCTGGCCAGCACTGCTGCGCACCACACACAAGCGCTTGTACCGACAGCACATCAGTGACCGCGGCCAATGCTTGTGATGTGGCTTTGGGTCCTGGTGGTAGGGGTACGACGTCAGATGTGGCGCGCGAGCGCCCCTAGCTTGACTCCTGCCCATTTCTCATCCTGCCTCCACCACAGACGTGTCCAAATGGCGGGCCAAGCGTTCCGCCTGAATTGTCCTCACCATCATACCCCGAAACAGTGAAATTCCGACGGCTACATGGACGGAGGGTGGGCCGTTTTCTAAACTGTAACCTCGCCACTGTGCAGCACACACGCGTTTCAAAACTTTCCGCCGGCTAAACGGATAGAGGGCGATTCATGTTCGAAAGGTTGTTCTCGCTTGAGACTTCCTCCCGTTCTGAAAGCCAGAAGCTTGCCGTCGAGTCGATCGGACACGGTTGTCGTGTGCGTCTTTGCTTTTGACCGCCAGCGTTGCCAAGGGCAACCCAATTGAACACAGCTTCGCAGAGCAGCTCGCGTAGGTCCAAGCCGAGCAAATTGATCCATGGAGAAACGCACAACACCGCGTGTGGGATCAGCGGCGGTAGACATGGTCACACGCGAGAGCTCTCGCTTTATCCTCCCTTCTGACGATCAGACGACGGGACTTGGAACAGGGGGGCGACATCATCGATGTGTTCTGGGTTTCCTCTGTCGGGGGCGCGGGGCCGCCAAATCCGTGGATCGGGGAGATGCCCATCCCAAAATGCGGCACCGGAGGGAGGAGGAAGGAGGGAGGAGGGAGGAGGAAGGAGGGAGGAGGCAGGGAGGGGAGGGAGGAGGAAGGGGAGGAGGAAGAGGAGGGGGAGGAGGAGGAGGAGGGAGGAGGAGGAGGAGGAGGAGGAGGAGGAGGAGGAGGAGAGGAGGAGGAGGAGGAGGAGGAGGAGGAGGAGGGGGAGGAGGAGGAGGAGGAGGAGGGGAGGAGGAGGAGGAGGAGGAGGAGGAGGAGGAGGAGGAGGAGGAGGAGGAGGAGGAGGAGGAGGAGGAGGAGGAGGAGGAGGGGAGGAGGAGGAGGAGGGGGAGGGGAGGGGGAGAGGGGGAGGAGGAAGGAGGGAGGAGGCAGGGAGGGGAGGGAGGAGGAAGGGGAGGAGGAAGAGGAGGGGGAGGAGGAGGAGGGAGGAGGGAGGAGGAGGAGGAGGAGCAGGAGTAGGAGGAGAAGGTGGAGGAGGAGGAGGAGGAGGAGGAGGAGGAGGAGGAGGAGGGAGGGAAGGAGGGAGGGAGGGAGCGAGGGAGGGGGGAGGAGGCGGAGGAGGAGGAGGTCGAGGAGGAGGGGGGGGAGGGAGGAGGAAGGAGGAAAAGGAGGAGGAGGAGGAGGAGGAGCAGGAGGAGGAGGGAGAGAGAGAGAGAGAACAACGCCGATGCGGCGACATCCCCCGTCGCCGCCATGGCGGCCAGGGGGCGGGAGCCCTCAAAAGTGCTCGAAGACGACGAAGCCGAGCGGGAGGGGGACGCTGTCGTCGACGGCGTTGAGGGGGAGGACGGCCGTGCTCGGGCACGGCATTATCGCCCTCCCCCAGCCCTCCGAAAGCCGCGCGCGCACCAGCGGCAGCTTCGTGCTCGACGTTGTCGAGGGGCTCGAAGGCGACCGCACCACGGCCACGGAGCCGAACTCGGACGAACGTCGTACCGCTGCCGATGACGCTGCCCGCACGCCCATCGTGCATGATGCGGACGAGCTCGCCCTCCTTCCAGGCTCGAGAGACCTCAACCGCAGCAGCAGGCGCAGCTGCAGCGGCTCCGCCAGGCACCGCTGGCTCCACCGCCGCCGCCGCCACCGCCGCAGGCCGCGCCGCCTCCTCGAACACCACATCCATGAGCTCCGCGCCAGCTGGGGTCGTGCCGCTACCCGCAGGAGCAGCAGACGCCATCGCACCAGCTTCGCCACGGCCCTGGCACACTGGAAGATCGTCAGCAAAGGCATCGTCGAGCTCATTATCACTAGGAGTGCCGGATACAGCGGGAGGGAGAACAGCATCTGCACCAAGATGGTCGGCAACAGGCGCAAGTCGGGAGCGGCGGCGCCGCCTCGCCGGCCTGGGACCGTCACCAGCTGCCTGCGCTACCATCGGCAACTGCCAGCTCCTCCCGCCTCCGCACTCTTCTCCTCGGCCGCCACGCCCAGCGTAGCGGGTCCGGCTGCCCCTGCGGCACGGCCACCACGTCCGCGCCGCCGCCGCTGCTAGGCGGCCGCAGCGCCAGCCGCAGAACGGCCGCGGATCGCGGCCACGGCAGCGCGCAGGAGGCCCTCGGCCGCGCGCAGGAGGCGCATCCCCTTAGGGGCGCTCCCCGCGGCCAGGCCCGAGGCCGCATGGGCCGCGAGGAGCGCGCCTCGCGAGGCTTCCTCAGCGCCCTTGCGGCTGGCCTCCAGGTTGAACGTACCAAGCATCGGCATCCTGGCGAGGGCGCCTCCGCGGGGGGGCGCGTCCGAACGGCAAGACGATTAAGCCAAAAGGTGCTAGAGGAGGAGGAGGAGGAGGAGGAGGAGGAGGAGGAGGAGGAGGAGGAGGAGGAGGAGGAGGAGGAGAGGAGGGAGGGAGGGAGGGAGGGAAGAGGATGATAAGATAAGATAAGACGGGCCGCGAGACGCGGGTCTGCCCCAGGGGCCGAACGCGGGCGGTCCAGCCGCGACGCGCTCCGTCGAGGCAGCCAGCGAAGGCGGGCACGCCCCCTCTCAGAGGAAGAGGGAGACGGTGGCGCTGATGATCAGCACGGTGCCGAACTCGAGGACCACCAGGTCGGAGTCCGCACACATCAGCAGCTCGTCGAGGGAGGAGGGAGGAGGGAGGAGGGAGGAGGGAGGAGGAGGAGGGAGGAGGAGGAGGAGGAGGAGGAGGAGGAGGAGCCCATGGAGGTCCAGGCCATGGCGGAGAACGCGCTGACGAAGGCCCTCGCCAGCACCCGCAGGGCCAGGCAGACGCGCAGCAGCCTGGCGGCGCGCGCGCGCCTCTCCGGGCGGCCTCGCCGCGCCGCGGCGCTGAGCGGCAGGCGCTGGCGCTCGACGCCGCTGCGCGGCCCGTCGTCGGCCGCGCCGCCGTCGGCCGCGCCGCCGTCGTCGACGCCGCCGTCGGCCGCGCCCCCGGAGGGCCTCTACGCCGCGCCGCTCGGCGGGCCTCGCGGCGGGCGGCCGCCGCCGGGGGCAGCGTGCAGTCAACCCGTACAGTGAGGTCGGGCGTGTCCTCCCACAGGCGGACTTTTTGGGCGAAAGTCAAGAATGGCCAAAAATATTCGATCAATAGTCAAAACTAATCGAAGCATCGTCCCGAGACTGTGTTCTGACCATTTTGAATATTCCTGTCGTGGGACAGGCCCGACTTAACCGTACAAAGAGGATGCGCGGAATGGATGCGCGGAAAGGATGCGCGGAAAGGATGTCGACCCTTTTCGAGCGGGGCACGGCCAGCGAGAGCGGCCAAGAATGGGCCGAAGGGGAAGGACGCAGGGTCACCCTTGGAAAGCCGGTCCTCCTTCTTACGCGGGTTGACTGTGCCGGCGGGCGTCCCGGCGTCCCAGAACGCGTGTCCGCGCCAGCACGTGCTTGTCCAGCGAGGCCCGTCTTCACGACGCAGGCGGTGCGATGAATTGAGCAGGGACCGACCGTCCCGGCATTCCTATAGTCATACCCCGAAATGTTCCTAGAACCCAAAAATGTTCCAAGAACAAAACCATGCTCTTAGAACATAAACCCCATGTGTTAAAACAAGACAGTCCCCGCCAGAAATGTTCTAAGACCACTTCGTGGGAACCACAAAAGGTTCTTAGAACATGGTCTGGTGGGCCTATAATTAGGCGAACCAGGACGCTTCGCGACTGCTTGAATGAAGGCCGGCACCGGCTGCGCGTGATCGGCCGAGCTGGGCGGGGCCACCGCACAGCGTGCGAGCCCGCGTCCTCCCTGCTCGTCGACGCGCGCGCGCGCGCCCGCGCGCGCGCGCGCCCGCGCGCGGCAGCGGAACAAGAGGCACGAGGCACAAACCTCTTCGGAGGTCCGCGCGGGCCCCCGACCCTCGAGCAGGGACCGGCCGCCCCGGCATTCCTGTAGCCCTACCACGCAATGTTCTCGGAACCCAAGAAAAATGTTCTGGGAGCAAGACGGCGTTCATAGGACATAATTACCCGACGTGTGAAGACGAGACAGTCCCAGCCAAACATGTTCTGAGAACACTGCGTGAAAGCCACAAACAGTTCTTAGAACATTCTTTGGTTCGGGAGCGGCCAAGAGGGGGGTGTCCAAGAGAGGGGGGTGCAAATCATGACCGGCGGCATGTGCGCGGCCCAGCGGGGGGGCCAGGGACGTAATGACATAAGACGAGGCGCCATGAAATCTGGGGAAATATCATGGCCCCCGCCATGACATCCACCCCCCCCTAGTCATCACCCCCCTCTTTTCCGCCCCCGATTGGTAGGCCTCTAGGCGAGCCGGGGCGCTTCGCCACTGCTTGAGGCCCCGGCGCGCGGAGCGCGCGCGAAGGGGCGGCGCAGAGAAGGAGGCGCCGCCCGCGGGGCGCCCAGCCGAGGCCTCCGGCCGTGCTGCCCCCGAGGGCGCCGCGAGGGGGGCTGCTCGGCGCGGGGGGCCCGCGGAGGCGCGCGCAGGGCGCCTCCCATTGAAGGGGCCCTGGGACACACAACTAAAAATACACACAAATAAAAAAAGATCCCCCCTATTTTCCTACATTGGGACACACAAATAAATACACACAAATAAGAAAAGATCCCCCATATATTTTCCCATATTTTCTAGGTTTCTGTCTTCCCCCCCACTTCCCATGTTTTCCCACATGTTCCCGGGAGTCGACGATCAACTGTGTCCGTGTGTTTCTTCCCCTCCTGAGCCCAGCCGCGCCAGGCAGGCGGCACCGGCGCGGCCCCTCCACGGAGAAGCTCTCGGAGCTCCGCGCGCCCCGCTCGGATCTGCGCCAGGCCCCCCTGGCGGCCGCCCCGGGCGCGCTCCGCGCGCCAGCGATGAGCATCGTGCATCCGACCCCGCTCCCCAGCGGCGTGGCCTGGGCCCCACTGGCCGATGTACCCCCCCCAGATGGGGATGTGGGCCGTCCCCTTCGGGCGTCGAGGGGTGTATCCCCAGCCGGGGTGGCAATGTGGTGGGGAGCACGAAGGGGATGTTTTGATTATACCGTTCCTATCACTCGGAAGTGAAACGTACTGTTGCTGACTATATACGATCGCTGTCTTGATCCACGAACCTGCAATCAACGCTGATGGTGCCAAGCTGTGGCGCACCAGCTGATCATCCACAAGTGCACGCAGACCTGCCCAACGCTCGCAAGGCACGTTTTTCTCGGGGCCTCGAGCTAGAGCAGATGCCGCTGCTGCGGTCTCGAATCGGGGAGACGTAAGACCCGGGTACGGGGGGCTCGGGTTGGCCCGACGAGGTCGTCAAAAAAATGACGAGGCCGAACCTGCATTTTGACGAGGCCTCCCGCTGCAGACATCCCACGAAACTCCTCCTCGTCAAAATCCGAGGCGCGGTCGTCAAAAAACGATGGCGAACCCGAGTCCTGGCAAACCCGGGTCTTACGCTCCCCCGATCGAAGAGGCATGGGGATGGGGACGGGGATCGGTTCACCGACGCCGAGCAACGCGCCCGCGAGGGGGGGCCCAGGGCCGAGCCTCGCTGGGAGCCCTGCTGGCCGGCAGGAGGCGCCCTGCGCGGCCCGCTCCCCGCCCGACCTGCGGCCACAATCCCGCCCGGGGATCCCCGGAGGCATCGGCAGGGGCGGCCTCCAACATAGAGGAAAAAGAATTATGCACATACACCGAGTCTGGCCAGGCCCATCCTGAGCCCAGGATCGGTGCATATGCCCTCCTACCTTGGCCAGGAAGGCATATGCACCGATCCTGGGTCAAGGATCGGCCTTGCCAGGATCGGTGCATGTGCATAATTCTCGTCGCCCGACAACAGACGAGCGCGCGCCACGACTCGCAGAGGAACTGCTCGCAAGTGGCCTGGGTACGCCGCAAGGGATCGGCGACAGGTTCCATCGAATCCGGCATGTGGTTTTCGGACGCTGGCGAGCAGGCACCTGGCGAGTAAGTGGAACGCGCTCGGTGATCCAAGGCGCGAGACCCGTGCGGGTGCCGGGGTTGAGTGATCCAGATCGGCCCCGTAGTGAAACAACACGGGTCTCAGGGGTTCGGGGCGGGACGGTGCGACAACGCGACGACACACGCAGCAAGCGGCACTGGATGTTACTGCAAATCCGTGCCAGGCAGTAGGGTTGCAGAACAAGACGCGAAACCATTTCAACCAGCATCTGCGGGACCACGAAGGCGTCGGTTACACCCAGTTCCGCGACGTTAATTTGGATCGGTAGCGCCAGATTGAGGCTTGAAACGAACCACTGCGTCCCACATCGTCGCCATGTCTCCCGATTCGTGCACACAGTGAATCATGACTTCGCATTCTGCACAATCGCTTGACCCTGCCGCCCACCACCATGCCCGGATCCGAACTCCAATGCAACACTTGTCGTGCCCCGTCTATCTCTGACATGGACACTGCGCAATCCGACTGGCTTCTACAAAGACAAGGCAATATACATGTGCTGTGGGGTCGCCTAGCGACGCGTAGAACCCGTAATATCCTCCCCTGATTGCGAGGACCCGTCCCAGCTCGTCAATGAGAACATCTGGACACACTACAACACACACACACACATCCTGTGCTCTATGGAAGGGGCAGAAGCGATGTGAAGGCTGTCGGGAGGGCCCCCCCCCATTTGAAATGGGGGAGTGGGAGAGGCGTGAAAACACACCCCCTAGACGAGGGGACGGGTTCTCTAACAATCCCTTCCGTTTCTTGTTTGGGGACTACCACCGGCGCCCGTTCTGACACAATGCGAGGCATGGGTTTACCCATGACCACCGCCCGTAGACCATCGTCGGGCACATCGGCAAGCGCTGGACATGGACGCAGCTGGCTCCCGCAGGGCGTCAATAATCCACCGCTGGCCGAGGTCCCCGAAGATCGGCATGAAGCGTGCGCATGCCCAGCCCACCGGAGTGAAGGAGGCCACTGACTACCACAGCACGTTGCCCCGAGGAGCAGCAGAGGCAAGAGGGCCGGCCGAAGAGCGGGAGGTCGGCGAGCGAGCTCACGCGCGCCTGGGTATCCGGGGGGGGGTCCTAAACAACGCCTGGTCGTGTGCACTTCGGTACTGTTTACAACAGGACGAGAAGAATTTGGTGACACGGCGTGCTATCGATGCGTTCCGGGAAAGCCGGGATTTCCAACAGTCTTTGCGCGGCGTGCACTTCGCGTCGAAGATTGTCTGCTCTGCCTGGCGCCGCTGGTCGGTCACCCGCTCGGAATCGAGTCGTCGCCCGTATGGGGGGCTATTTGACATTTGCTGATCCCCCTTTTCGTTGCCGAGCGAGGGGGGCACGGTGGCGCACCGTCCTGTCGCCCGCCGCCGCGCACTGCGCGCCTCGGCGGACGCGCAAAGACCTGGTACGGCAAATCACGCGCGACTCTGGACCTTTTTCCGGGGCAGATTCGGAAAACGTTTTTGAAGATGTCCGGCCTACTTTTGCAAAACAGCCCTGAATCGATTTCGAAAAATCCTGGAATCGATTTTGATAAAACCAATGTTGAAAAATTCCGGATTTCAGAATCCTTCAGATGTCCTGCGCGGCAGGCGCATTCCACCCCAACAAATTGTTTTTGTTTTGAACCTTGCCAGACTCATTTTTGAAAATTTCCGGAACCGCTTGCGCCAACATTCTATAATCTAGAAATAATTGTCTGGCGGTCCGGCGGGCGCGGCCGGCTGATTTACGCACAGCGCCGCGTGCGTTTGGGCGCAGCGCGCGCCGCGCCCTGCGCCCGCTAACAGCACTCGAACGGGTTACCTCGAAAATCGCGCCACGGCAGCTGCGACTCACGGACCCCCCAAGAGCAAAGCAGAATGCAGCTTGGAATCTCCGATGGCGCTCCGCTGCACAACGAAGGCACCGCGCCCATCATGCAAAGCACCTGCGAAACGGAAGGCGCTCGACCATTCGTCCCTGGAGCCCGCGCGGAAGAACGGGAAAACCTAAAAATCTGGCAAACGATCCATATCAATACTTCATGCTTGAAGGGGCCCTGGGACACACAAATAAATGGACACAAATAACCAGATCCCCAATATTTCCCCATATGTTCTAGGTTTTTGTCTTCCCCCCCACTTCCCACATGTTCCCATATCTTCTGGGGAATCGACGGTTCATTGTGTCTGTGTGGTTTTTGTCCTTCCTGAATGCTCCTCTGCTACAAGGGACCGCGGCCGTCCGGACCGAAACTGTGGCCGGCCGGCGCTGCGGCGAGGGCACGGTTCCTGGATAGACTGTGAGGCAGCCTGGGCGAAGCGGCTGCTGGGGCGGGCAGCCCAGGACTCCCCCGGTTCGTCGTCGTCGTCGTCGTCGTCGTCGAGGCCTCGTGGAAGCAGCCAGCGACCCAGACGAGACATGGCAATTTGTTGAACCGTCCCTGCCTAACTCGTTGTGTTGATCGCTAGGTCGCGTTACGAGGAGAGCGTGCCAGAGGATAAAGACATCCACAAGGACGGCATGAGCCCCCCGCAACCCCTCCGCAGGAAAGACATGGCGTCGAGCATCGCCGGCGACGGGTCGGGCCCGCAAACCTGGCAGGGAAAACGACCATGACTCCGCATTACAATATTACGTAAGACCATCGCCGCCGTCACTGCCGCCGGCATCAGTCGGGGTGTGGCCAGAGCAGCCAAAGAGATGCTGTGACAAGCTGCCCCTCGCGCGTCACCCTGCCCAACTCGGCCAAGCTCAACCACTCCTATCTCCGCCCCATCCACCCCGTCCTCGACCGCCTGACCGCCAGATCCGTGCCGAATCCGCGTCGGATCCGCGTCGGATTCACGCCAAATCCGCGTCGAGTCCGCATCGAGCCCGCGTCGGGACAAGAAGAGACACCGACTTGGGGGACAGGCGAGGTCCCCCGAAAATGCAACGTTGACTACTTCGGGGCGGAAGAGAGGGGGTGGGCATAAAGTGCGGGTGCGGCCGCAAGAAACCTTCGCAAGAAACCCACCCCTGAGAACCCATGCGCGAGGTGCACCTGAGGGGAAACCCGGAGCACCCTGAACGCAGCAGCTCCTTCAACGGCTGCGGGAAGCCACCGCGCAGCGCGAGGAGCGAAGAAACCCAGGATAAGCGGACGAAAAGCATATGCAGGCCAGTCCTGCGGCGACTCCCAGCAGGAGGAGGCGCCAGAGGCACCGAGGAGGTGCGCCGGGCGCCGGGGCCGAGGCCACGCGCACGCCGCAGGCTCCCGCCCTCCCAATTTCCGAATCCCCCCTCGGCGGCCCGCCGCCGCCTGCCCTGGTATTTGGAGCGAGAGGGGATCGAAGCGAATGCATTTTCATGCTCTCGACCGTAAGGTGCATGGCGGCGCCGCCACAGCACTTCTCAGAACTGCCTCTGTGACGGGGGATCGGGTCATATGGTAAGCATCTCCTGCTGCACGCTGATGCCGCAGGTTCCGCCCCCCCCTTCCGAATCCCACCACCTCAGCGGCCCGCCGCCTGCCCTCCCCTGCCCCGTCGTCCTCCTGCGGCTGGCGCTGGGCAGGTGGCGTGCAGCATCGGCCTCCCAGAAGCACGCCATCACTGCGAGGCGATGCCCTCTCGAGGGCACCCTCTGTGCACGCCATCCCCCTTCCAGGGCTTCTTCGGTGCACGCAATCCCCAGGATGAGAGGCGGCGTCGGTGTCCTTGCATCGTTGCGAAAACAGCCACACATCGGAGCCCCAGACCCTCCATGCCACATTTTCCGAACCAGATCGATCTATGCTGGTCGCAGCGCCCGAAACTGGGCAATACCACCCGGTGCGAAAAAGTTGCAACGTCCAGATTTCAAGGGAAGCCCACGTCGGTGGCGCCGACGACGGCCGATTCAAGTCAGCTCGACAACTCTAGGAGCGATGTCCGATGGCCACTGCCTCGCATCGTGATTAATCTTGATCGGCCTTCGCCGAACAAGCCAACTCTGGCGACGAGTAGGACGTGCTCTGAGTGCCTGCAGAGGTCGTCATTGACACTGACGCACCAGGAAGGGTCCCTCCCTCTGGACGTCTGCGGCGCCCAGGTTAGCGGTTGGCCTCTGTAGGGGAACGGCAACAGGCAGAAACATCATTTCTCGGAGGTCCGCGCGGACTTCTTGGATCGGCGCTGCACCCCCCTCCCTCGCGCGCCGAGCGCGCCAGGGGCGGCGCCGGAGGCGCCGCCAGGGGGGCCCAGCGCCGATCCAAGAAATCGGGGGAGGGCATCCGAGAAAGTGTGCCTATGCAGTTTGTTGTTCGTCGACTCTGGGGAAGGAGGCCCAGCGCCGCTCCAAGAGAGACCTCCGAGAGAGCATGTTTGTTGCGATTTTGGTGCGGGCAAGACTTATATCCATATACAGTGCGTCTTGGACTGCACCACAAGGCCGAGGCGCACTGGATATGGAAAAACATCGAGCCTCTCGGGGGCAAGCTTATCCATATCTGGTGCGCCTCGGGTTGCTGGGGAAAGGAGCCCGAAGCTTAGAAGAAAAAGAAGAAACAAACAGCATACATGTAAACTTTCGGCGCTCCGCACGGATATCTTGGATCTGCGCTGGGCCCCCCTCCCTGGCGCGCGGAACGCGCCAGGAGCTCCGCTGGAGGCGCCGCCGGGGGGGTCCGCGCGGAGCGCCAAATGTTTATGTTTATAACATGTTTCTTCTTCGGATACTGCAGTGGATACACTGGGGGTCCGACCACAACAGACCTCCCACACGAAAAACCCTACCCTGAGGCCCCAGGACGCCTACTCATGTTCGGTATGGGAACCTCACGCTCCCCGTCGCAAAGCCATCGAAGCCAAGACGCCTAGGGCACCCTGGAGGCAAGCAGGGCGTTTCTTGGCAGGGGCCCCCACTGCATGGGCAGAAGAAGGGCTGAACCTAACCGTGTTTTTCGTTTTGGTTTCGTTTTCGTTTCCCCTCGCTTTGTTTTCCATCCGCCCTTCATACAAAACGAAGTCGAAACGAAACCGGCCCACGAGATCGCCAAAGCACCGTTCAGGTCCAGCCCTGGGCAGAAGCACTGCCCGCACCCGGGGCCGCCCGACGCCCCCGACAAGGCCGAGGGCTGGCAGCCGCGGCCCGCCCGACGCATCGCGGCGCCGCCAGGGGGGCACCAGCGGCAGCACGGCGTCCAGCAGGCCCTGCGCCACCACGGCCGCGTCCTTGCGCTCGGCTCGCTCCCCGGGGGGAGGACGAAGGGGCCGCGGGGCACACACACACACACAGAAAGAGACACGAGTTCCAGGGTTCCCATGGTTCCTCGTGTTCTCTGGAGGTTCGTCGTCCCCCCCCCCCCACCGCTCCCCTATTTTTCCCCATGCTTCCCGGGGGATCGACGATCAATTGTGTCTGTATGTCTTCCCTCCTCCTCCTTCCTCCTCCTCCTCCTCCTCCTCCTCCTCCTCCCCCTCCTCTCTCACCCTACCCCCCTGTCGTCTTGGTCGGCGCTACAGCGCACGTACACACGTGCGCATCTCAGCGTGCGCCGCTAGGGGACCACATGCGAACCCTACCCCTACCCCCCACGATTTCTGAGGGGGAGGGTGGGGTTCACTTCGCTCGGGAGCTCCCGAACGAAGTGAACCCCACCGTCCCCCTCAGAAATCGTGGGGGGTAGGGGTAGGGTTCGCATGTGGCCCCCTAACCGCAGAAAGGTTTATCCCACCAGCCCTCTGGGCGTAGGTGGTCTAGAGCAGATCCTCTTCCACCCCTCCCTCTTCCCCCTTGGGGAGGGGTTTACCCCTCCCCCTACCCCCTCCCCTGGACCTGGACGGGGGGGGCCGCGGGTAGTTAGAGCGTCCCAGATGGCCCAAGACGGCTCCAAGAGCGCCTCAGAGAACCCAAGATGAGCTCCAAGATGGCTCAAGATAGCGCAAGATCGCTCGAGATGGCTCCTAAGATGGTTCCAAGAAGCCCAAAGACGGCCCCAAGATAACTCCAAGTGGCCAAACAGCTCCCCAAGGAGGCCCCGAAGAGGCCAAAATCGTCCCAAAACCTAAGGAAAATCAATGATTTTTGCTTTCTCGCCTTTTCGCTTCCGATGGCCATCCGAGGCCTGGAGATGGCCAAGATGGCCCAAGAGGGCCCCAAGAGAGCCCCAAAAGAGCCCCAAGACGGCCCCAAGAGCGCCCAAGAGCACTCCAAGAGCGTTCCAAGAGGGGTCCAAGAGGCGATTTTAGGGGCTTCCGAGGGGGGGCGCTAATTAAACCCCCCCTCTTGTTTGATCGATCTCCTCCAAGATGGCCCCAAGAAGCGCCCAGGAAGCCCCAAGAGGTCCCAAGATGGCCCCAAAATGGCCCCAAGAGGCCCCCAAGAGGCCCCCCGGAGGCCCCCAAGAGACCCCCAAGAGGCCCCAAGAGCCCCCCCAGATGCACCCAAGATGCTCCAAGAGGCCTCGGCGAGAATGCCTAATCATTGATTCTACACAGGTTTTAGCCACATGGAGGCCTCTTGGGGGGGGGCACGGATTAAGATGACTCCAAGAGCGTCTGGGAGAGCCCAAAATGACCTCCAAGATGGCTCAAGATATCCCAAGATGTCTCATAATGGCTTCCTCTGTGTGCTGCCCACTTCTCTGATCGAGGCAATTCCTCTGGGCATCGTTTCTGGATGGGCTGGTGGGGATTCGCGAAGCGACAACAATTGAATCAGTCCACTTGATTTCCGGACGGCCATTTTAGCCAGAGCCTCATAGACGCAGATGGGAGGAGTTAGGATGATACGGGCGGGCTCGGGACGACTCGTGGATTCCAGCGACGCTCATCATTCCCATATGGCCTCCTTTGCCAAATCCTATATAACACAAGCTCTGTCTTGTGAAAACCCCTGGCGCTCCAGTTTGTCATAAGGTTTCCTTCTGACATTTTATATACAACAGTGGTGCTCTGTTGCACACGGTTGCTGTGGTGCACGCAGGCGCCGTGGTGTACACAGGCTCTGTAGAGCAAGCAGGCATTGTGGTGTACACTTGTGTTGTGTTGCACACGGCGCTGTGTTGCACGTGATTGCTGTGGCGTACATAGGCGGTGTGGTGTTCACAAGCGCCGTGGTGCACCCAAGCACCGTAGTGTTCACAGGCGCTGTGGTGCAGATCGCCACTTACATGCTGCTGCTACCCGTGTTTTGTCATTCCGAAGCATTCCCACACGCCGCGGGCGCGAAACGTGACGTCATCGGCCCCTTCCACCCCTCCAAATGATTGCCGTCATCGGCCCGGAATAAAAGCAGGCTCCAGCCGCGTCCGCGCGCACGACGACGATGAGCGACGAGCGACGAGCGACGAGCGACGACAACGACGACGACGACGACGACGACGACGACGACGACGACGACTGCGGACCAGACTCCTATGCGGATTCCTGTGGACACCTATGCCGATGCGGATCCTGGTGCGCACGGCGGCAGTGCCTGGAGCGCAGTGGGGGGGGAGCGTTACGTCGTGGGGGGGGGGGCGGGGGCCATGACGCCCGCCATGCCCCAAAACACGCTCCTCGGCTCACGTGGTCGGGGTCGTGGTCCTGGTCATGGTCGTCTTGGTCGTCGTGGTCGTGGTGGTGGTCGCCGTTGTCGTCGTCAGCGTCGTCGTCGTCGTCGTCAGAGTCGTTGTCGTCGTCGTCGTCGTAATCGCCGCCGACGTCGTCGTCAGCGTCGGTGTCGCCGCCGTCGCCGTCGCCGTCGCCGTCGCCGTTCGTGGCCGTGGCCGTCGTCGCCCGAAGCGGGCGCGCGGCGCCCCGGGCGTCCAGCACGCTCCACGGGCTGCAGAAGAAGGCCCGGCGCTGGTCGCACATCCGCAGCAGCAGCTCCTCCGCCGCCCGGCGCGCCGAGCCGCCGCTCCGCCGCAGGGGGCTTCGGCTCGCCATCGCCTAGGTGGCCACACGCGAAGCCTGCCCCCACCCCCCCACGAGTCCTGAGGGGGAGGGCGGGGTTCACTTCGTCTGGGAGCTCCCGAGCGAAGTGAACCCTACACCCTCCCCCTCAAGAAGTCGTGGGGGGTAGGGGGGTAGGGTTCGCACGTGGCCCCCCTGATCGCTCGAGGCGGCCCGCGGGCGAAAAAACCTAGCAGGGGATGCCAGTCCACAAGAAGCCTCCCGCAGGAAACCCAGCCCTGGGACCCCAGGACGTCCATCGAGTTTTTTGGTGTGGAGCATCGAAGCCGCAGAAACCCAGGGCACCCTGGAGGCAAGCAGGGCGCTTCTTGGGATGGGCCCCTACTGCATCCCAGACTCCGTCGCCAGCGCAGCACGAGGAGGCCGTTTTGAAGCCGTTCGGGTCCGCTTTGGGGCGTTCGGGGACGTCCTGGGGGCGCCTTGGGGCTCGTTGGGGGCCTGCTGGCCGTCTTCAGGCATTCTTGGTGCTCTCTTGGGGCGGTCTTGGGCGCATCTGGGACCCTCTTGGAGCCGTCTTGGGCCGTCTCGGGGGCCTCTTGGGAGCTTCTTGGGGCGTCCTGGGGCGTCTCGGGGCGTCTTGTCTTGGGGCGGTCTTGGGGGCTTCTTGAGAGCCGCCGTGGAGCGTCGGAAAGCTGAAAAGTCGTGCATGTTAGCGATGTACGTTTTCCCACGCGGATTCTGAGATTTTCGCCTCTGGGGACACTCTTCGGAAGCCTCTTGGGGGGTTCTCTTCGGCGATCTTGGCGGCGTCTGAGATCGTCTTGGGGCCATCGTATCTCGGGCGTCTGGGAGCCCTCTGGGAAAGCTTTCCTAGGCTGGAGCGTGCTTGGAAGCAGTCTGGAGGCAATCTCCGAGGTCACCGGGGCCCCTCAGGACCCCCTGCTTCAGCCTGGTCCCTGGGATACATATTTACGTACACACATACATACATACATACATACATACATACATACATACATACATGCATGCATGCATGCATACATACATACATACATACATACATACATACACACATACACACATACATCCATGCATGCATGCATGCATGCATGCATGCATGCGTACATACATACATACATACATCTATGCATCCATGCATCCATGCATCCATGCATACATGCATACATGCATACATACATGCATACATACATACATACAAGTATACTGGGAAACCTACGTACACTCATGCACACATATACATACATACATACATACATACATACATACATACATACATACATACATACATACATACGTACATACACACACATACATACATACATACATACATACATACATACATACATGTATACATACGTACATACATACATGCATACATGCATACATATATACATATATACATACACATACATATATACATACACATACACACATACATGCATACATGCATGCATACATACATACAGACAGACACACACATACATACGTACATACATACATACATGCATGCATGCATACATACATACATACATACATACACACATAACTACATACATACAAACATGCGTGCATACATACATGCGTGCATGCATACGTACATACACATGTACGTGCATGTGTGAGCGTTTCTGTGTTTATGCATGTGTGAATGTGTGCATGCATGCATATATGTATGTGTGGGGCACGTATGTAAATGTACATGTGTGTGCGTGTGTGTATGTATGTATGTATGTATGTGTGTGTGCCTGAATGTATGGATGTATGGATGTATGGATGGTTGGGTTGATTGAGGTATGGTTGCTAATGTATGTACCTATGCCTGTACGTATGCGTGTATGTATGTATGTGTGTATGTGTGTGGATGCGTGTGTGTATGCATGTATGTATGTATGTATGTGGTTGTGTGTGTACGGACACATGCCTGCATGTATGTATGTATGTATATGTGCATGTTTGTGCATGTATGTGCATGAATGTGCATGTATGTGCATGTATGTATGTATGGGTGTATGGATGTGTGGATGGACTGATGTATGTATGTGTATGTGTGCATGCATGTGTGTATGCGTAAATGCATGTCTGAATGAGTGTATGTATGCCTGTGTATCCATGCATGTGTGTATGTGTGTATGTGTGTTTGCATATGTGTGTATGTGTACGCGTGTACGCGTATGTGGATGTGTGGCTGTATGCGTGTATGCATACATGCATACATGCATACATGTATGCATGTAGGTATGTAGATATGGATGTACGTATGTATACCGGTGTTCCTGCATGTTGTAAGGAGCCACGCAGTTATGGATAAGTGAATGTATGGGTGTATGCATGTATGCATATACATATAGATGGGCCTGGGTATGTGTGTATGGATGTGTGTGTGCATGTATGTATGTGTATGCCTGTGTGTATGTGAGTGCGTGAGTATGCATGCATGCATGTACGTACGTACGCCTGTACGTAGGAACGTGAATCTACATATACATATATAAGATGCGTGTAAATATACATGTATAGGTGCGCGTGTACCCACAACCGTGCCTTCGGCACGCATTGGGCTGCGAGGGCTTGTGGTGCCATCAGGTTCATTATGCGCGTGGCCCCTAGACGATCCATGGCGGTCCTCGGCGCTCCTGGGCGGCCGTGCGCCCTGCCGGGGTGTCGCCTGAGTTTTGTGGGCGGCCGTCTTTGGGGCCCGGGCCCCCCTGCAGCGCCTTTTCTGGGTGTCTTAGCGCGACAGCCGTTGGGTCTCATGGCGGCCGAGCGTGCCACGGGGCCCACGGCCGAGCCAAGACGTCCGCGCGGACCTCCGAAAGCTTATGTTCATGCAGTCAGCCTTTCCTCTGTCCCCCTGGGGCCTTCTGGACGATTTTGGGCTCTCCTTGCGCCTGCAAGCCGGGGATTTATCCATCTCACCGCCTGGGAACCGACGCTCTGGCGCCCCAGCGGGCGGCGGATATGTATCCATATCCACCGCCTGCCGAATATATCCACATCGATATTGAGCCCATACTGAACCCATCTTGGGGCCGTCGTTCGGGCCTCTTGGGCCGTCTTGGGCGCCTTGGGGCCCTTCTTGGAACCCTGGGGCCCCCCTTGCCTGTTTTGGGGCGGTATGGGAAGCCTCTTGGGAAGTCACGGGCTATCGTAATCTCAACAAGTAGAAGGCCCGAAAACACTTTGGAGAAAAACCCAAGGGAAATCACAAACGTTTGCCTCTCGGAGCACACGTCTGGGGCCTCGCCGGGCCACTGAAGCCTGCCTGGGAGTGTACTGGAGCAGCATGGAAGCCTTCGGAGGCCGTTCAGAAAGCGCCGCCGGCACTCTCGGGGCGTGATCGACACGGTCTGGTAACCCAGCGCCCCCGATAATAATACCATGGGGACAGGCGCTCGGCAGCCCTCGCCTCGGATCTCGCGCAGGGCGCGCTCAATCCAGCGACTCGTCCACAAGCCGCACAACCAGAGGTCGGCCTGGAACATCTCGTTGCTGCTCCCATCAGCCATCTTGGAATCCTCTTTGGGGCCTCTGGGGCCGTCGGGGGTCCATTTTGGTAACTTCTTGGGCCGTCGCGACCGCTGGTAGAACTGAAACGCGAAGCTCCCAGAAACAGACGTTTTTCCATTTGGAAGGCCTTCTTCACGGCCTCTTGGACAGTCGTGGGGGGGTCATTTTGGGCCTTTTGTACAGGGCGACGGCACGCCGGGGCGCTATCCGATTCCAGCCGATCAGCCGATCAGCCGATCAGCCGAACAGCCGATCAGCCGGTCAGCCGATAAGCGACCGCGCAGCCGATCAGCCGATCAGCCGATCAGCCGAACCTCTTATCGGCTGATCGGCTGATCGGCTGATCGGCGTCTTGGCCGTTGATCGGCTGATCGGCTGATCGGCTGATCGGCTGATCGGCCGCTGATCGGCTGATCGGCTGATCGGCTGATCGGCTGCTCGGCCGCTGATCGGCTGATCGGCTGATCAGCTGCTCTGCAGGAGGAGGAGGAGGAGGAGGAGGAGGAGGAGGAGAGGAAAAGGAGGAGGAGGAGGAGAGGAGGTAGGAGGAGGAGAAGAGGAGGAGGAGGAGGAGGAGGAGGAGGAGGAGGAGCAAGAGGAAGAGGATAGGGAGGAGAGGGAGGAGGAGAAGGAGGAGGAGATGGAGGCAGGGGGGGAGGAGGAGGACGACAAGGAGATGGAGGCAGGGCAGGAGGAGGATGAGGAGGAGGAGGACGAGGAAGAGGAGGGGGAGGAGGAGATTGAGGCAGGGAGGCAGGGCGGCAGGGAAGGAAAGGAAGGGAGGGAAGGCTAGATCGTCGTCGGCTGCTCGGTGGCTGGCCGACACGTGGGCTGTCGAAGGCTCAAGACGGCTCATGACACTAATTGAAGAAAGCGCCAGAAGGCGCTTCAGAACATGCCCGGCCGTTTTGCCGACCCTCCCTCTCTCTCTCTCTGTTTCTCTCTCTTTCTCTCTCTCTCTCTCTCTCTCTTTCTCTCTTTCTCTCTCTCTTTCTCTCTCTATTCTCTTGATGCTCTCTGTCTCTCTCTCTCTCTTTTTTCTCTCTCTCTCTCTCTCTCTCTCTCTCTCTCTCTCTCTCTCTCTTTTATCCATTGTTTCCCCTTGTCTGCGTTGCGCTGACGCTCGATTCATTCGAACGCGGTCGCAAACTTGCCGCTGTGAAAACCAATACATACTCATGGAGTGTGTGTTTAAGCACGCTCGCATAGCGTCAAAATACACAATATTCCCCGTGCGTAACCCCTGTGTTCCCCAAAAAACCAATGTGTTTTAACTTTTTCTTGCTCCGAACGTTGCGGGTATGTTCGCGGTTGCTAACGCCGGCGAGGCCGACGCGGGCGAATGCGTGAAAACATACTACGTTTGGGACAGTTCTGGGGTGACGCACGGGAAATCTCAACGGTTTGGGCTGGACTCGCGGAACTAGTTTCTTAACTTTTCCGTTCTTTTCCCGCCCGTTCCGTTCGTCCACCGCCGCAATAGCCAGCGCCGCTCAATTACCGCGAGGGCTGTTAACGACGCAAGGGGCGAGGAGGGAGCAGGAGAGAGGGAGACAGAGATAAAGAAATGGAGAGAAAGAGAGAGGGGGAAAGTTCTCAAGAGACACACTGCAGTATATGCAAGCCCCTCCGCGTAAAGGCGCGGCGTCTGTGCGTGGATGCGGAGTGGCAAAAACTCCTCGCGACCTGCCCCGCAAGTCGCGGTTCCGAGCACTTGCAAACGCGCATGCTGATCCCGAGCCTCTCTCGGATTGCGCGCCTTCCCAGGCCAGACCGACCTGATCCCAGACCGCGCGGTAGCCTAAGATACAGAAAAACCAGAAGCCGAGGGTAAACATGAGGTCGGCGCAAGCCTGCCAAGGCTCGGGCGGACCACGGCATGCATCCGCAAGATGAATTCAAAGGAAGGGTGCGAACAAGTGCTTCAAATGGTCGAGGCCGTCGTCATCCTCGAGCTCAACCCCGAGCATGACAACGGCCTCCAAGCGCTGCGCCAGCAGGGCGTCTCGCTCTGCCCACGGCGGCAAACAACCAGCGCCGTAGTGGCGGTAATTAAACCGCAGGAAAGCGAGCTGGCTGAGGACGTTGAACCAGCGCAGCGACACCGTGCGAGCGCCCCGCGGGAGCATCCCCTTAAGACACTCCCACAGGCGCTCCACGGGCACGGTGCCCGACTGAACGGGCACCCCCGCGGCCCGGATCGCCCGCGCCGCCGACTGCCAGGCCCACAGGCCCTCAACTCGCAGTGGCTTCAAGAGGCGACGGTAATGCGCCCGGACCTTGGCGGTCCAGACGCTGCGAAGGCCACGGACCCGCTCGGGCTGCTTCTTGTCGCGGATCCGCCGCCGCGCCCCGCGGCGCGGACTGGGCGCGTCGACTATTCCTCTCTCCCGCCCGAAGAGGCCCCAAATGATCTTCCGGACCGCCTGAGGGCTTCCCAAGAGACCCCCAGGGAATTCCAGGAGGCCCAGGAGAGGCCAACAAGAGGCTCCAAAGAGGCGCCACAATTTGCTGCAGATGCCGTGAGGGACGAAGGAATTGTCTCCAAGGGATCTCGCAAGGGGTTAACCACGAACTCGCAGCTCACATCCGTTAGCCCAGGCGCGGCGGCGGGCTAGGCCCAAGGCCACTGGATTATTCCCCGACGCCTACGGGTGGAGCGGCGGCCAGGTTTGTACCACCTGGCGTTTCTACGGACCTCCGCCTTGAACTGCTTCGGGGAGGCGTGCCCGCGAAAGGCCATGGACGAATCCACTTGAACCCCAGCACGCCGCGCGATGCGCGACACCACTCCCCGCGGGGGGTACGCGCCGAACTCCTTCTTCCAAAGGCGGCACTTCGACACGTTCGGCAACTGCAGGAATCGTCGAAGGTCCGCGGCTCCGTCGGCATCAGCGCCCATGCTTGCCTGGAACGTCGCCGCGGTCTTCTCGACAGCGGTTCTGAGCAGCGTCACGCCCGCCTCCGACAGATCCTGCGCGCGCGGGCGCGCAGGCGCTTGCCCGGCAGGCGGGGCGTCCGGAGGCGGCGCTGACAAACGTGACAAAATGTCCTGGTGGTCGTGAATGAAATCCCGGCAGTCGTTGCACGACGGGCTCGCGCACCGCCGCAACGCAATGACCTCGGACAGCTCGCGGTGGGCATCGATCGGCCGCTGGTCAGCCAGGGTTTGGATCTCAGAACCGATATGATCAAGGATCAGCCAGATCTACGATTGCATCGGACCTATCGCAGGCCGACCAAGTAACCGCAGCCCGACCCGAACTCCCCCCTGGGCGAGCGGAGGCCGAGGCGGCGGCGTCGTGAACGGGGTCGCCAGCGATGGCTGTCAGGGGCTCACTGAAGCGATCCACTGCCTGCGAACCGTCGGCTTTCGGAGTGTCGGCAACGACGGTAGTCGTCTGTTCGGGGTATTTGCCCATGTAGAATTCGGCGAGCTTCAATCGATGCTTGCCGTAGACGTCCGTGCAGTGGCAAATGGGCGCGCTGGCGGCCAGGCCCAAGCCTGCTTCTAGGCGGTCACGTTTGAGGCTGGATACGACGTCGTCGAGGTCGGGGAGAAGGTCGACAAGGTCCTCGGTTTTGCTCGCAATGACAGGCTTGAGGAGCGCGCCATCCACGCCAATCCAACCCAATATCACGCTGAACTCGCGCTCCTTGTTGTTGAGGACGCGGACGGCGAGGTCCCAATTACCGCCCCCTCTGACGACGGAGCCACTGTAGACGTTGACGTGTTTTCTCATGTGCTCCACCAGGGGGGCCAAGTAGTTCTCCAACGCGTCGCATATGAAAGCCCTCAGCGCGGAATTGCTGGGCACCAGGAAGAGGAGGACCAGGAAGAGAAAATGGATGAAGAGAGGGCGGAGACGGAGACAGAGGAGAAGGAGGAGGAACAGGATGACGAGGACGAGGAGTGGGAAGGAGGAAACGGGGGAGGGAGGGGAGGAAAAGGAGGACGAGGAGGAAGAGGAGGACGGAAGAACACGAGGAGGAAGACGAAGAAAGAGGAGGACAAGGAGGAAGACGACGAAGGAGGAGTACGAGGAGGAGGACGAGGAGGGAGGGGGGAGGGAAAAGGAGGAGGATGAGAAGGAGGAAGAAGAGGAAAAGGAGGGCCACGAAAGGGAGGAGGAGGACGGGGAGGAAGGGAAAGCAGGAGGAGCAAGAGTATAGCCGACATTGGATGCGCCGAATTCCACGCACGCCCCTCACAAATTCCACATCACCAACCGGAATTCGACAAATCCGATCTGTCCGGCCGAAATTCCACAAACCTGGCAGAATGTTACACTTCCCGCCAAATGACTAGTAGTAAGGGGGACAAGGAGGAGGAGGAAGGAGGAGGAGGAAGAGGAAAAGGAAACAAAAAAAAACACGAGGAGGAGGAGGAGGAGGAGGAGGAAAAGCAACAGGAGCGAGGAGGGGGGAGGAGGAGGAGAAACGAGGAGGAGGAGGAGGAGGGGAAGGAGGTACTAGTAGTAGGTACTAGTAGTAGGTACTAGTAGTAGGTACTAGTAGTAGGTGCTGGTACTAGGTACTAGTAGTAGGTACTCGTAGCCGGTACTAGTAGTAGGTACTACACGGGGGGTACTATAGTTTTGACCATAAGACGTCATGCTCTCGACGCCCCCTGCCCCCCCGTAGAATCTTAGCGACATGTTTTGGGTCGGGCGGCGGTTCGACTCCGATGGGCTCTCACCCTGTAAGAATATAATAATATATATTTAAAACAGGGTGATAATTACTCCGTCCCATTTAAAATAGGGCCGGAAAACACTCCGACTTGAACCCATTCACAGTAAACCACTCCGCTTGGGTCACGTTTGATCGTCCGTGTCATCATCCCCATCGACCCTGTCCTTATCATGCCAACGCGATGTTTCATTGTATTCCTTGTTGCATTGATGCTGTGAGACCCTGGGCATCCTTCTCCAATGCGGTCGCTCTCGGTTCACTGGTTGGCCGTCCCAGAGGGCCCACAAAGGCTCGCGAATCCGCATCAAGGCACCTTTGCATCCTGATCGGTCCGCCGCGGCACGCGTGACCAGCGAGGCAATTCTCATCTTATGGTCAAAAACTTTAGTACCCCCGAAGTAGTAGTAGGCACTAGTAGTACGTACAAGTGGTAGGTACTAGTAGTAGGTACTAGTAGTAAGGAGGACGAGAAGAAGGAGGAAGGAGGAGGAGTAGGAGGTAAAGGAAAAAAGGGAACGAGGAAGAGGAGGAGAAGGAAGAGGAGGAAAAACAACAGGAGCGACGAGGGGGGAGGAGGAGGAGAAACGAGGAGGAGGAGAAGGAGGTACTAGTAGTAGGTACTAGTAGTAGGTACTAGTAGTAGGTACCAGTCGTATGTACTCGTAGTAGGTACTAGTAGTAAGTACTAGTAGTAGGTACTAGTACTAGGTACTAGTAGTAGGTACTAGTCGTAGGTAAAAGTAGTAGGTACTAGTAGTAGGTACTACTAGTAGTAGGTACTACTAGTAGTACGTACTAGTATTATGCACTAGTAGTAGGTACTAGTAGTGAGTACTGCTAGTAGTAGGTACTACTAGTAGTAGGTACTAGTAGTAGGTACTAGTAGTAGGTAGTAGTAGTAGTAGGTACTAGTAGTAGGCACCAGTAGTAGGTACTAGTAGTAGGTACTAGTAGTAGGTACGAGTAGTAGCTAGTAGTAGGTACTACTAGTAGTTGGTACTAGTAGTATGTACTCGTAGTAAGGAGGACGAGGACGAGGAGGAGGAAGGAGGAGGGGGAGGAGGAAAAGGGAAAAAAGGAACGAAGAGGAGGAGGAGGAACAGGAGGAGGAGGAGGAAAAGCAACAGGAGCGAGGAGGGGTGAGGAGGAGGAGAAACGAGGAGGAGGAGGAGGAGGAGGAGGAGGAGGGGAAAGAGAAGGAGGATGAGGGAGGGAGGGAGGGGGGGGGGAGGACGAGGAGGAGGACGACGGGATGGAGGAAGACGAAGGGGACCATGAGGACGAGGAGGGCGACACATGGGATGGAGGGCTGATCGATGACGGCGAGCTCGCGCAAACAGTGGGTCGAAGAAATTCAGGAAGAACGAGCATTGCGCTTCAACTGGCCCTTGCGAACGGCGCGCAGCCTACCCCTGGCCCGCACCACCCCTAAATTCACGTATGCGTCGGGCGCCGTCGGCTTCCGAGACATACCTAAGCTGCGCCACACGCGCCCAATGCGCGCCTTACGGACCAATTGACTATCAATGGCCCGCGCCCCCCCCGACCGTTTCCGCCCACTCGACTCCGTTTTGCGCTTCTCCCACCTGCGCGCCTCGCAACAGATGTCTTCAGTGTGGGTAATGGTAAACGCTGGCGCGTACAAGTGAACGTCGACCAAGAGTGGCAGGAGCTCGCTGTGCAGGTGCTGAAGGCGCTCACTATCGTTGCCCTTTGTCCGGCGTGCATCTGCGCAGGACATCCTCTGCCCCCCCGCCGACGAACGTGTTCTCGGACAGCTTAAACCCACACCTTGCCGAAATCTCGGGTCGTAGAACAGCGAAGTCACGCTTGATTAACATGCGGTGCCACTCAGTGTGGATCAGGAGCTCCCCGCCCAACACGGCGTCGAACGATTTGCCAGCCTCATGAGGCCAACCACAAACACGAGTAGTAGTGGGTACTAGTAGTGGGTACTAGTAGTAGGTACTCGTAGCAGGTACCAGTAGTAGGTACTAGTAGTAGGTACTAGTAGTAGGTACTAGTAGTAGGTACTAGTAGTAGGTGTTAGTAGTAGGTACGAGTAGTCGGTACTAGTAGTAGGTACAAGTCGCATGTACTAGTAGAAGGTACTTCTAGTGGTAGGTACTAGTAATCGTAGGTACTAGTAGTAGGTACTAGTAGTAGGAACTAGTAGTAGGTGCTAGTAGTAGATACTAGTAGTAGGCACCAGTAGTAGGTACTACTAGTAGTAGGTACCACTAGTAGTAGTAGGTACTAGTCGTAGGTACTAGTAGCAGGGTACTAGTAATAGGTACTAGTAATAGGTACTAGTAGTGGGCACTAGTAGTAGGTACTCGTAGCAGGTACCAGTAGTAGGTACTAGTAGTAGGTCCTAGTAGTAGGTACTAGTAGTAGGTACTAGTAGTAGGTGTTAGTAGTAGGTACGAGTAGTCGGTACTAGTAGTAGGTAGAAGTCGCATGTACTAGTAGAAGGTACTTCTAGTGGTAGGTACTAGTAATCGTAGGTACTAGTAGTAGGTACTAGTAGTAGGAACTAGTAGTAGGTACTAGTAGTAGATACTAGTAGTAGACACCAGTAGTAGGTACTACTAGTAGTAGGTACTACTAGTAGTAGTAGGTACTAGTCGTAGGTACTAGTAGTAGGTACTAGTAGTAGTAGGTACTAGTAGTAGGTACTAGTCGTAAGTACTAGTAGTAGGTACGAGTAGTCGGTACTAGTAAAAAAGGTACGAGTAGTAGGTACTAGTAGTAGGTACTAGTCGTAGTACGTACTAGTAGTAGTGGGCAGGCACTAGTAGTAGGTACTAGTAGTAGGTGGTAGTAGTAGTAGTAGTAGTAGTAGTAGTAGTAGTAGTAGTAGTATTAGTAGTAGTAGTAGTAGTAGGTACTAGTAGTAGTAGGTACTAGTAGTAGGTACTAGTAGTAGGTACTCGTAGTAGGTACTAGTAGGAGGTACTAGTAGTAGGTACCACTAGTAGTAGGCACTAGTAGTAGGTACTAGTAGTAGGCACTACTAGTAGTAGGTACTAGTAGTAGGTACTAGTAGTAGGTACTACTAGTAGTAGGCACTAGTAGTAGTAGGTACTACTAGTAGTGGGTAGTAGTAGCAGGTACGAGTGGTAGGTACTAGTAGTAGGTACTAGTAGGAAGTACTAGTAGTAGGTACCTTGCCTCGAGCGCCCTGGCAGCGCGCGAGAAAGCACGAGAGCGCAATAGCGAATCGAGCATCTTACCCAGCATGCGCAACTGGCCCTCGCCGTCGGCCTCCTTGCCCAAGCGCACGCCCAGACGCTCCGCCTCTGCTGTGAACAGATGGCATTGGCACCGCGGGTACGCCTGCACCACTGCGCACTGTTTAGACGCACGCTGAAAGGCAACGGCATCCAAGCCGCGACCCTCCGCCATGTCGCCGCCCGACTCCTCGCGATACGTCGTCCGGACGCGCCCGACCCCGCCGTCGCAGTTGAACCACAAACGCGCCAACCACACAGCGAGTAGCTGCACCTCCAAGCGTGCACCAATGAACTCACTGAACAAATACATGTCAGTGTTGTTCATCTGATAGTTACTTTCCCCCCGCGCGTGGTCTGACCACTGCGGGTCCTGCCAGAAAACAGAGAAAAGCAGCCCAGATTTCAGGACGCGGCGCTGGAAGACAACACTGTGTTTCATGCCGCCACCACTCTGAGCGCAAAGGGCACACTCGGCACGGAAATCCAGCTAAACACCGCGCCCAAAAAAACTGAACCCCTTTTTTCCGTTTCACCGCGTCCTGGAGTAACTGCAACACGGCCGGGTCCACGCACACCTTCTCGAAGAAGGCCTCGGCGGCGGCTGCCCCGTGAATTTTCTCCACCGTGCTGACCGCTGCGGCGTTGGCATAAGCGGCCAGCTCCGAGACGCGCTCGCGGATGTTCATCGGCCCTCTGCGAAGTCCGTCAAGCCTGTGTCCTGCACGCGGCGCCGCTGAAAAAAAGAAGAAGCTGCGGCAAAAAATGGGTGGAACAAAGCAAGGGGTTGAAAAAAAAAAAAAAAAAAAAAAAAAAAAAAAAACCTGGGCATGCTCTGCGGCATTTTCACACCCATGTCCTGGAAGC